TTTCCTCCTTCCAGCTTCCATTGCATCAAGCAGAGTGATGGATATTCAGTAAGAGCGGATATTCAGGATGTTGCTGCCCAGACCACCGTGAAGGAAGGAAACAAATAATGGTCATTTTAGGAGCTACAATGTAACAATCTCCGTAACATTGTTTATGATAAGCTTAAGAAGGGCGACCCTAACACGTTTCCCTAGTGCTGCGGTTATCACGTTCTCCTCACAATAGAAAGGTCCCCGGTTCGATCCCCAGCAGAAACATTTCTACATCTTTACTGTAGAATTTTAAAATTTGCTTCAAAGTAATTTCAGTAGAAATTCAGCGTCGGTGCCTTTTTCTTTTTTCTTATTTCTCTAGTCTTTTTTAGATATTATGGAATTTAAAAAGTTATTGCAAAGTAACACAAACTCTAGGTCGATGTTTGACGAGAAAGTTTTAAGTGAACGCTAAAACTAAGAAAAAGCTGTAAAACACACCTGCGTTGGCCGGGAATCGAACCCGGGTCAACTGCTTGGAAGGCAGCTATGCTAACCACTATACCACCAACGCTTGGACGAACACGTTTTTCTCTAGGAGCCTTTAGTAGAAGTATTATCGGTTAGGCCGGGCAATACCAAGTTACTGGGGGTGTCTCTCCCAACGTCCCTGCTCGCACAGGAAGACGCCACGTTTAGGACGTTTCACCCCACTTGCCGCGGGGCCGTGCTGGCGCGTTCCCCTCCCCAGCGCCCCGGACTCCTTGGTGCCGGCCGGGAGGTGGCCAATCCCAGGCCGCCGCCTGGGCCGCTCGACTTCCGGGTCAAAGGGGCCTGAGCTGCCGGGTGTCCCGTGTCCGCTGCCGCCGCTGTACCCTGCGCCCGCCACTTCCTGGGCTGCAGTCCCGGGCATGGAGCCGCGAGCTTGAGACGCCGCTGGCCCCGGGACGCCCTGCCCAGCCCGGCCCTCGCCCCGCGCCGGCCTCGAGCCCCGGTGAGCAGAGCCCGCGCGCCCCGTCCGGCCTCGGCCGCGACCCTGAACCCGCCATTGACCGGCCCCACCTCAGTCCCGACTCTGGATCCTCCACTGACCGGCCTCCCCGGTACCCTCCGTCCCGGCCTCCGCGCACCCCGGCCCCGCCATTGCCCAGACTCGCGGTTGCTCCAGTCCCCGCCTCCGTTTCCCCTCCGCCCCGGCCTCTCCTCACTCCTTCCCCGCCCGTTCCCTCCATCGGCAGGGCCACCTCTCAGCCTTTCCAACGCCCGGCCTCTCCCGACCTCCTCTCCCATCCCGTTGCTACCCAGACCACCTGGCTCTGACCCCTTCCGGGGGTGGCCTCACCCAGTAACGCCTTCCCTTCCTTGTCGGCTCTGGAGGTCCCCACCTTCTCCCCGTCCCCATCCAAACCCACGCTATCTATATGAGACCAGAGACCACTTCCTTGACCTGCTCCACCCCTTCACCCCTCCCCAGCGCTCGGCTTCCCCGCCACCCACATCCCCACAGATCCAGCCCCTTCCCTCAGCTTCGCTCCCAGGCCAGTCCAGCCACCCACCTTCTTCGCACAGAGGCTCCGACCAGCCTTGACACTTCCCCATCCATGCGGCAGCTGAGCCTTCAGGAGTAGCCCGTTCTCTTTGAGCCCATCCCTGACCCCCTCCCCCCCACCGCGAGGAAGTCACTTGCCTCAGCGGCAAGAACAAACCTTTCCAGGAGCTGGGACTAGAGCCCAGGAGGGGTGCCCTGTGGCCACCAATCCCTGTCGTCCCTTGCTGGATCCTGGGCGAATTGGGCCCCGTGGCAGGACTTTCCTCCCTGGTGTGGTTCATACAGCGCTTCAGGGCTGTGAGGCATCCTTAGGAACTAGTGGGTACAGAAAATCAGGCCCAACCATCAGGGACTCTCCGAGTGGCAGGAAAATGAGTAGTTAGCCGGTCCCTCCATTAAATCACAGCGTTAATAAGACATTTACTCTGTCAAGGTCTGTGTCCCACGTCTGCAGCTGGAATGGAGGCTCTCTGGACCCTTTAGAAGGTCAGTGGTGCTGGGCTGGGGTGGCCGGGAAGGCTGGGTGTGTGCTGGTGGGATTCATTTGCCTGCTCCTGGGTACAGAATTTGGCAGGAAGTGGTTTTCTGAAGCCCTGGGGTCACTGGTCTTGGGGACAGTTAGCCAGGCCCCAGGCCAGGGGCTGCAGCTTCGTGTGCTCTTGCTGGAGACTTTTCTTTCTATCTAGCATCGTATGCTAGATGTCCACGGACAGAAGCCCTGGAAGGACTGGGGGAGAAAAAGGAGGGAGCACTAATTCCAGCTGGATTTGGTGGATGTGTGGCTGCATCTCCCCCTCCCCCGCCACACACACACCTTATACGGTGCCTGGCGCTCAGTCTGTGAATGGTGTGGATTCTGGCTCTGAAAGGAACTTGAGTCCAATTCTCCCCTTGGTGTAATTTTAAGTAACTTGGTTAGATGGCAATATTAGCTGGCCCATAGTTTCTGCTATGTCAGCTGCTTTACCCGTGCCATCTCACTTAATCCTCACAGTAGTCCTAGGTGTAGGCACTGCAGTCCCACTTTTCTTTTTAATAAATTTATTTATTAATTTGTTTATTTTTGGCTGAGTTGGCTCTTTGTTGCTGCATGCGAGCTTTCTCTAGTTGCGGCGAGCAGGGACTGCTTCTTGTTGCAGTGGCTTCTCTTGTTGAGGAGCACGGGCTCTAGGCATGCGGGCTCAGCAGTTGTGGCTCACGGGCTCCAGAGTGCAGGCTCAGTAGTTGTGGCACACGGGCTTAGTTGCTCTGCGGCATGTGGGATCTTCCCGGACCAGGACTCGAACCCGTGTCCCCTGCGTTGACAGGCGGATTCGTAACCATTGTGCCACAAGGGAAGCCCTGCAGTCCCACTTAGTAGCTGGGAAAATTGAAGCACAGAGAGGTTAGGCGGCTTCTCCAAGGTCACATAACCCAGTAGTGGCAGAGTCAGGATTTGAACCCAAACCTCTCTGACACCAGAGCCCACAGTTTTCACCACTGGACTGAGGTGAAATCAGTGCTTCTTTATGGTGACATTTTGTTTCACTTCTTCCATCGGATCTCTGTCCTGGGACCAGGCGCTGCTTTCTTTTCCTTTAACCATCAGGGCACCTGTCTCGTCAAGAAGGGGGTGGGGTGCCCACCAAACCAGGGGTCCCTTTGACTTTGTTCAGCGTTCAGGTGAATACAGGGACTCGTTCATTCAACCTGAGACGTTTGCTGTATTGAGTGCTTCCTGTGTGCCGGGGCCACAACAGGAACAGGACAGATGGGGGCCTGCCTCCGTGGAGCTGACTTCCTGGTGCGGGGTGCTCACACACCCAGAGAGGGCTTCTCAGCCTCAGCACTAGCGAGATTTGGGGCCAGGTTATTCTTTCTGGTGGGGGAAGAGCATCCTGCTAATTGTGGGGGACTTAGCAGCATCCCTGGTCTCCACCACCCAGATGCCAGCAGCATGCCTCCCAGTCGTGACAACCAAAAACGTCTCCTGGGAACACCAGGCCTCGTCAAGACCCCCTGGCTTAGGGGATTCACTGACCGCCCCCAAGAGGCTCTGCGCTCCGTGACCACCTGACCCTCAGAGGTCCTAGGATGCTGCACACATTTAAACACACAAACCAAGAGGGAGGGACAGGAGGCGACTCACAGACGCCAGGGGCCACCCTGATTTATACCATCTGAACCATTGGGGATTTATTTTTGTGTCTAGTGTGAGCTAAGGATCTAACTCCATTTCTTTCCCCCAGACAATGAATACAGAGTTTCCCTCCCTGGGCACTGTGGAAACTGGGACCAGATCATTCTCTGGGGTGGGCCATCGTGGCCACAGTAGGGTGATGAGCGGCATCCCTGGCCCCACCCACCGGATGCCGTGGCACCACTCCCCAGTCAGTGGGAACAGCCAAAACTGTCTACAGACACCACCAAGGGTCCCCTGGACGGGGGGTGGGGAGAGAGGGAAGATCACCCCCATTGAGAACTACCATTTTAGAATGAGTGCTTGCAGAAAGGCCCAGGTGTTGAGATGGGGATAACAAGGTGGCAACTTCAGACTTCATGCCAGGAAAGACCCCTGAAGAGGTGATACTGGGACCCAAAGGATAAGAGGAAGCACATCATACAAAAAGCAGGGCAAGGGTGTTCTAGGCAGAGGGAATGGTAAGTGCAAAGGCCCTGAGGTAGGACTGAGTCAGCGTGTTTAGGGGAGATTAAGGCCAGCGTGTCTGGAGATCATGGTCAAGGAGGTGGGGTCAGGAAGGCCATCAGGGAGCAACCACAGTGGGGAATTTGGGTTTATTTGATTTCCAGCAAGTGCCGTGGGTGGTGGCCCCCCGAATCGTTTGAAACTCTCATCTCAGGGACTCTCACCTTGGGAGAACCACCCGGTTTCTGGCAAACACCTGGACAGGTGTTCGAACTTCGAGTTTCAGGACAGGGCCTGCACCATCTGCCTCATGAGGAGGCCCTTGGCATCAGGTGTTCCCCGCAGACAGGAGGGTGGCCTCGAGGAATGGGAGCGGGGAGGGGGGCCCACAACCCCACACTGTCAGAGCTGCAGCCCTTCGGTCTGCCCCCCTCGCAGGCTCACCCACCCAGAGGTCAGCCGAGTGGTTAATGCGGAAGGTTAAGAAGGTGCGGCTGGACAACACAAACACAGGACGTTGGAGAAGGTAAGGGGCATGCCGTGGGAGCGTGGTCGGTGGAGACGCGGTAGAGGTTCCCGAGTTTCCAGCAGAGTCTTAGGTCTGGGAAGGCACCTTGGCCACCTCGACGTTTCGGCATTTCCCCAGGGTGCGCGTCTGGCGGTTCTGCGTGGGCGGCAGCGTGGGCTAGGGAGGGGTTGTTCAGCCTTGGCATTTTTGACACTGGGGCTGGGTCATTCAGTGCCCGCACTGGCATTGTCGGGTGTGGAGCGTCACCCACCCTTCACGACAACCACAGATGTCCCCAGACATCACCCCGTGTCCCCTGGGAACGGGATCAGCTCCAGGTGAGAACCCCTGGCCAGATGGTCAGGATGTGGGTTTTGGGGTCCAACAAACTGGGGCTCCTGTCCTTCCTCGTGGGTGACTTTGGGCGAACCACATGACCTCTGAGCCTACTTTCCAGTCCAAATGAGGACGAACCCAGCACTCACTAACCAGGGTTGCAGTGAGGATTAAACGTAATCACCCACACAAGGCCCAGGTGCTTGTAAGTTCCACGTGTGGGGCCCGGCGCAGGCTGAAGGGACCGCAGGAAGTCCGCACCCTAGCCGACCTCTCTCACTATCAGTTTTCTGATCCTCAGGCTCATCTGCTTTTAGGGAGCGCAAGGATCGGGGAGGCAGGAAGGGAACGGAAGATGGTTCTGGGAGACAGGGCTGACGTTAAGCACAGTCACTCGTTTCCCGGATGTGGGCTCTGAAAACGGGTGGTGTGCGTGCATTCGGGTGTCGGTTAGTGATGGGACCCCGAGTCTCGTCTCTCCTGTGCGCTAGGTACCACGTGGGCACGGGCTGGGCTGCACACTGACTTGAAGAAGCTGAAGGCCCAGGCAGTGCCAGGGCATATGGCCTTCATAGGGCAGAGGATGGCCTGCTGCTTCCAGGGAACCGCACCCGCAGGCATGCGCGAGTTCCCTGAGGGCCACTCTGAGGCATTTCCGGAGTGTGGCGGGCCCCGCCCCTCCCCTCCCCTTGTGCCTTATGAGAATCTGCTTCCCTCATCACTGGCCCCGCCTGGGTCTCCACCAGGTGCCCCTGTGGGCGGGTGGTCCCAGCCCGTGCAGCACTGGCTCAGACAGATCACAGAATGCCATCGGGCCTCGACTGTGACCGCACCAGCGGGTCCCGAGCTGTGCACTGGCGGCATCGTGGGCTGTGAGGCGTCCTACCGATTGGCAGAAGGAGCGCGTGGGTGGACCTGGCCTAAGTGGCTTAGAATCCACTTTGATTTCCCCAGCTGTGTAAACTCTTGAGGCAAGAAGCCGAGCCCCAGCTGGCACTGAATGAGACGGGCCGGCACCCTACGGGCTGCATTGCATTCACCTGTTCCCCCTCCGAGGCTCCCTCTGCGTCTGGGGAGGAGAGGGGCGAGCGGAGGGCCGGGGTGTAGCAGCAAGCCTTAGCCTGGGAGCTCGGGCTGCCTGGCCACATCTAGAAGATTCCTAGGACTTTCTCCCGATGTTTCATCTCGTTTCTCATCTCCTGGATCGTGTTTTTGCTTCCTGGGCTCTCTGCGTGGATCGGAGGCAAGATCATTTTTATCGTTCTTTGCTGTGGAAAGAAGTCATGAGATTCCGGGAGTGCTTCCGCCAGCCTCTCCGCTTCTGGGGTTCCCCGTGGGAGCCCTGGAGGCCACGGTCTGTTCTTTTGCCGTGAGCAGGGCTTGAATTGTGGCAGCCAAGTCGGTGGGGGGCTCGGCGGGTTAGAGGACATCCCCTGCCTTGGTTTTCTGGGCTTGGTGCCAGCAGCGCTTGGGGCCGTGTGGGCTCTGCAGCGCTCAGCCGGTCCTGGCCCGGCCCCTGCCCAGCACCGCCCGTGGCCCCTGCCGCCCTCGAGGTGAACCGCAGCTCTGCGGCAGGCCGGGACGGGCCACGCGTGCCCCTCGGCAAGGCTTCCGTCCTTCCAGGGTTTGCTTTATTTGACCCGAGGGCCCCGCAGGCTCTGATGGCCTGTGGTCTGTGTCTTCAAAGCCGCCGTGGGAGGAGCTGAAGTGTCTGGGGGACAGGACATGCCAGCTTGTTGCCCCGCCACCGCTCTTCCCCAGCCCGGCTGGGTCAGGGAGGACTGAGCAGGGGGCGCGGTTGGAAAGGGCACTCTGATAATCAGCCCGCAGTGGGTGCTCAGGAACCATGGGAACCGCCTCGTGTCTCTTTCTCCCCTTGCCTCTCAGAGCGGGCAGGGGTCCTTTGTCCTGGGGTGGTCACTTCAGGGTCTCGTATTGGCAAGGGGCAAAGCCTTCTGGGAGTCTTAAGCCTCCCACTGGAAGGGGGAGCACCAGCTCTGTCCATGACTTCTCTAAAGCCGTCCCCTCCTGCAAGGGAACTCAGACTTGTGCCTGCAAAGCCGCTAATCCCAGAGGATGAGGAATCCCAGCGTCTGGCGAGGCCTCCAGCCATTCGGTGCCCTCGCAGGAACTCGAGCCCGGCCCACTCACATTGGCTGGCCTCGCTAGACGACCCTGGCTCTTCCAGAACCGGGTCACCGTGGCCATGTTTAGATTTCCCTAAAACAAATATTTGTCTGGCCAGCCCTGTTCAGTCAAGAAGTGTGCTGAGCAGCGGGGGTGGGGGTAGGGGGGAGCCGTTGCACAGCAGCCGCTGCCCCTGGAGGGGGAGGAGAGAGTGGGATGGCCTCTGGGGGAGGGTTGCACATCCATCCTCTCATGTGGAGCTCCCCCGATGTCCAGCGAATATCTGCCTGGGCCTCTGAGCACCTCTGGTGAGGCACGAGAGGTTCCCCCGCTGGCCAGCAAGCTGACAGCACCGGTGAGGAGGTTTGCAGACCCACTGCTTAACGCTCAGTTCTTGGTGCGGGAGTGACTGTGTCTCCCAGCGGGCTGTAGGGGAGACCATGATTGCTGTGGCTCTCCGAGGAATGCCTCCTGTGTGCCGGGGCCGTGTGAGGTGCTGAGACGCTGCTGTGAACGGGACAGACGCGGGGGAGACAGAAAGGGGACCCGTGAACAGCCACTGTGACGAATGCTCGGAGGGCAGGGCAACCAGGTGGCAGGTGAAAGGTGAACGGAGAGACAGGTTTTGGTACAGATGTTCACCTGAGGACCCGACAGATACTTAAGCTGAGATCTGATTAGAAGTTAGTCCAGTAGAAAGAGGAAAAAAAGGGTTCCAGGCAGAAAGGATAGCACATGCAAAGGCCCTGGGGCAGGAAGCAGTCTGGCCTGTTTGGGCAGCTGAGAGAAGGCCAGTTTGCCCGAGGCCTAGTAATGAAGGTGGGTGAGATGTGAGGGCCTGGCAGAGGTCAGAGGGCAGAAACCATTGAAGGCCGTGGGGAGCGCTGGTTTTTAACCCTGGAGGGTGTGGAAAAACAAGGAACGGTTTTAGGTCAGGGGATCCGAGTTGCAGTGCATGTGCAGTCAAGCTGAGAGACGGTTGCGGTCATTCAGCTGAGAGGTGATGGTGGCCTGGATCTCAGGATTCGTGGATGGAGAGAAGAGGAACGATTTGAGAAATACTTAGGCGGGGCAGGGAAGGTTGCACGGGGCTGGGGCCCTGCCAAGGGAGTTGGAGAGTCTGATGGGAGGCAGCTTGTAAGTGGAACCTAGGTACCGCCCCCCCACCTTCTCATTGTCTTCCCACCCGTCCCTCCCTCCTCGTAGCTTCTCGCTGAATTCCGAGGGGGAGGAGAGGATGGCCACTGGGGCGCCGACATCCGACCGGGGCGACGCAGTCGAGATGGAGGACCCAGCCTCCCGCTTCCAGGTGCAGAAGCACTCGTGGGACGGGCTCCGGAGCATCATCCACGGCAGCCGCAAGAACTCGGGCCTCATCGTCAACAAAGCTCCACATGACTTCCAGTTTGTGCAGAAGACGGACGAGTCGGGCCCCCACTCCCACCGCCTCTACTACCTGGGTAAGCCCCCGGGCTCCCCTCGGACCCCCACGGCTGCCCTCGAGCCAGGCAGCATTTCTGGGACAGCTGTTACTAAGTCCTCTAGTCTCCAGATGTTGGCCAGTCCAATTAGTTAGAAGGTCCCAGTAGAGGGCCTGGCCCTGGGCAAACTGTCCCATGAATGACGTAGTGCTGCCCACGTTGTGATGCCACCCGTGGATGACATCTGTTTACAGTGAAAGTCTGGGGCAAGGGTCCCCCACGGGGCTCAGATGTGTATGTGACCAGAGCAGAGGGCAGTCCTGCTCCATCTGTGTTACAGCAGCACCATGGTTCGGGCCTGGCCTGTGGGTCTGAGGCCCTGAGATTGTTTCCAGCCCTCGTCAGAGGGGCCCGCCCCCTGAGTCACTTCCCCGCCACCTGGGCTGGGCTGGGCCTGGCTAGTGAACAACTTGACTTCCCCTCAGTGGGAGTTGAAAGTAACTCAAGTAGATGCTTGCCGGCTAGCAACGCGTTAAGAAGGAACCTGAGGCTCAAGGAAAGGTGCCACGGTGGCACCTTTGCCTTGTGGGCTGACAGTTGGGGTTTGCTCTCCCTGCCCGAGATCCCTGGCGGCTAAGCACGTGAATGGCTAATCACGTCTGCCTCCCGGTATGTGCCTTGAGAGCAGCACTTTCTACGTCATTGGCAATTATTTATGTGTTTGTGTTCCCTGCCGGCCTTTGGGGCACAGATGAGGCGTCGTGTACACCTGTGGCCTCAGCAGCTGGGCCAGGGCCTGGCTCCTGGTAGGGGGACAGCAAATACCTGTTGAGCAAATGAATTTCGCTTAAAGGTCTTCCAGGGCAGAAAGGAACAGTGCCAAGCATGTCCCTTTGTAAGTAGCCTGACACGTTATTGTTGGTCCAGAGCAGGTTTTTAACCTCAGCACTGGACATTGGAGGCCAGCGCTTTCTCTGTGTATCCTCAGCCTGCCCCCAGTCAGCCCGCCGTCAGTATTGGAAGCGAGTGATGGAGTGAATGAATGAGTGAAGGTCATCCCCTGCCTGAGGCTGACCCCACGCCGAGGACCGTGAGAGTGACTGAGATGGACGCCAGATGGCTCTCCCTTTCCCACAGTCCATGAGTCCATGCCGTCTCTCCTCCTAAAGGCCCATGTGGAAACCATATGGCAGTTTGGCAAGCAGAGGCAGAGAGAAGAATGGTCTAGAAGGGTCGGCAAGCGACGGCTGTCTGTTTTTAGAAATCTAGTTTGGCCGGTGCACAGCCATGCCCACTGGTTTACAGACCGTCTATGGCTGCTTTTGAGCATAATTGCAACGGAGGTCATATGGTCCGCAAAGCCAAAAATACTTACTGTCTCTGGCCCCTTGCAGAAAAATGTTTGCCAACTCTAGCCTAGGAGAGATTAGGGCATGCTTCAAGTTTCATTTACCCAAGGGAGAGTTGGCTGTTAGGACCGAAAGTGGCCAAGGCTCTGGGACAGTGGTGAGCTGTTGCCTCTCTCTTTTTTTTTCCTGTGGTTCCGTGGCCCCCAATCCCTTTCTCCCAACACAGTCTCTGTTGGACCTCTCACTCTCTCAAGTTCAAGGTGCCGTCCTGGTCACGGTACTTATATGAGCTTCCTGGGGCTGCTACTGAAACAAATGCCCACCGACTCAGTGGTTTAAAACAACAGAAACGTATTCTCTCTCAGTTCCGGAAGCCAGAAGTCTGAAATCAGTTTCTCTGGGCCAGTCAAGGTGTCCGCAGGGCCAGTCTTCTTCCGGAGGCTCTAGGGGAGAATCCGTTCTTTGCCTCTTGAGGCTTCTGGCGGCCACCGGCATTCCTTGGCTTGTGGCTGCGTCACTGCAGTCTTTGCGTCTGTGGTCTCATCGCCTCCTCCTCTCCTGTGTGTCTGTAATCTCTCTGTCTCCCTCTGATAAGGCAGGAGATTACATTTAGGGCCCACTGAGATAATCCAGACTAATCTTCCCAGCTAGAGGTCTTTAACGTTATCCCGTCTGCAAAGGCCCTTTTGCCAGGAAGGTAACATACAGTTTCCAGGGATTAGGACATGAGTGCGTAGCCATTGCTAAGCCAACCACAGAGCTGCCGAAAGGGACAGAAATGCTCCGAGCTACTTTGAGCCACCAAGGGCCCCTCATAGTAAGGACACGGGTGTGTCAGGGAACCCCCCAGCCTCATGACCAGCACTGAGAAGCCCAACCATATGGAGTCCAGGCATCTGCCCTCGTATGTTTCTCTCCGTGGCTCCACCCTCACTGCCCACTTACCTTCCACTGCCACACTCCCGGGATTGCATGTCTGGTTCCAGCCACCAGCAGAAATGGACCAGCTTTTTCTGAATTTCTGGGACAGCGAGTATGATTGGCTTAGACATCCACTCATCCAGTCATCCTTGGCCTGGGGCGGGCGGTCCCTGCTGTCTATAGCAGGTGCTAAGGGCCCTCTCTTGTAGGGGGCAGCTCCAGACAAGGACTGTGGACCCACTGCGGCTCCAAAAAGTGCCTAGAACAGCCCAAAGCCATCCTACTTCTCTTGGGGTGACGTTGCTCACCCTTGAGCTGATCCAGTCTGCATCACTCAACACCCTCGGAGTACCCTTGACCTCACTCCATGTCCAAGTTCCTGGGGCAGGTCTCCCCAGAACCCCCATGTATTTATAACCTGTCTGCACTAGCCTGGTGCCAGGGGAATGCTGGCAGCCAGAAGCATTTATGGATTGAACAGAAAGGACCTCTAGGGGCGATGCCCAGCCCGCCCCCTGCGCCCCTGGGACCCCTGCCTCCTGGGCGGGCCCCAGGCTTGCCAGTCACCGTCCTCTGGGAAGGCTCATTGGGAGCCCAGTGCACGTGGGATGGAACAGAAAAGGGAACGTGCCTGCTGCTCGGGCACGTCCCCAGAAGATGATTCCAGGGCTCAACTGCTCCTAATGGGTCGGCTCCTCCCCCCTGCAAACGGGTGTCCTGCATTCGGTGGAGGAGGGCACGGGGCCCCAGACAGCACTGGGGGTCCCTTAGGGGGTCCCTCGTGTCCTGTGTCCAGGTCCAGGGTCACACGCCCCATGGGGCCCCTCATCCAGGCCACGCGGTGTTTGCCCAGGCCTGGGCCACCTGCCGTGCTGGTGGGCTTCGGGGTGGGGTGCTGTCCCCAGAGATGGAGTGGAGCTGGTAAGAGGAGGCGCAGGGGGGACCGTGACAGCAGAAGTCAGCGGCCGTGGTCAGCTGTCCCAGACCCTTGCCGTGCACACCGGCATAGGTGCCTGCCGAGGGCAGCTCCTCCAGGGAATGTGCCGGGATGGGCTGTTTCATGTCACTGCTTATGAATTGTTGGCGGGGGGAGGCAGCTCTGATGTCCTTGGCAAGGCTGCACCGTTGATTTCCTGTTTGGAAGGCTCTGGCTCCCAGAGAGCCTGCGGACAGGGGCTGTCCAGAGCCCACAGCGCTCGGCCAAGAGTGGCCACCTGCTCCCTCCCAGCTTTCCACGCTGGCCCTCCCAGCCACCACGCTGCGTGGTGTTTGCTTTTTTTTAAATTGAGATGTAATTCACATCCCATAAAATTCTCTCTTAAAGGTGGAGAGCTTGGTGGTTTTGGGTACAGTCACAGTATTGTGCAACCATCACCACAGTCAAATTCCAGAACATTCCATCACCCCAGAAAGCAACCCTGTGCCCATTAGCAGTCACTCCCTATCCCCCTCCCCCAGCCCGTAGCGACCCACTGACTTGCTTCCTGTCTCTGGATTTGCCTGTTCTGGACGTTTCACAGAAATGGAATCACAGGGACTTCCCCTGGCGGTCCAGTGGTTAAGACTCCGCGCTTCCACTGCAGGGGGCGCGGTTCCATCCCTGGTCTGGGAACTAAGATCCCACAAGCCGTGTGGCCAAAAAAAAAAAGAAAAGAAATGGAATCATGCACTGCACGATTCTCGTCCCAACTTGTCTTGTGAACTTCGGAAGACAGCCCCGTCGGCAACTCAGACGGGCGGCGTCACATCCGTGCCTCTAGCTGGGAATGATTCCAGCTGTGGCAGCTTAGAGAGTCCTTAGAAGTCGAATTGTGAATGCTTCCCACTTGTAGCTTGCGTTTTCACTCTTTTTTTACTAACTATACTTCATGAGGAAACTGTCATGAGTGGAAGACGCGAGTCACTTGCCATATTGAGAAGCTACCCATAAGAGTTACTGTGGTGGAATAGGTATTATTTATGAAGCTCTATCTAGCTCTGGAGGTGCCAAGCTTGGGGGGCGGCCCGCCTGTTCTCCCACTCTTAGAAGTGAGAGCGCTGGGGCTTCCCTGGTGGCGCAGTGGTTGAGAGTCTGCCTGCCGATGCAGGGGACATGGGTTCGTGCCCCGGTCCGGGAGGATCCCACATGCCGCGGAGAGGCTGGGCCCGTGAGCCATGGCTGCTGAGCCTGCGTGTCCGGAGCCTGTGCTCCGCAACGGGAGAGGCCACAACAGTGAGAGGCCCACGTACCGCAAAAAAAAAAAAAAAAAAAAAAAGTGAGAGCGCCTACGAGGAAGAGAGGCCAGCACCAAACCGAGCCTTCCTCCTGGAGAAATTTGGGATTGAGAGGGGTCAAAGCGGGACGCCTGCTTTCTGTGACCCGCTGTTGGCCACAGCGCATTCCTGGGCCACCGCAGAGCATCCCGCCTGCTGCCGGGGGGCTCTGCCCCAGTCCCTCACCTTGTTGCCCAGAGAGTGGGGAACCCAAAGCTTCCTGAGGACCATTCTGCTCCCGCCATTAACTTTGTTAACAGCCATAGTATCGTCATCCATCGAGGCAGAGGCACTTCCAGTTGGGACTTCCCTGGCAGTCCAGTGGTTAGGACTTCGTGCTTCCACTGCAGGGGGCATGGGTTTGATCCCTGGTCGGGAAACTAGGATCCCACACAGGGTGTGGCGTGGCCGAAAGAAACCTGGTTAGAAGATACGTCCTTGTTTTAGTTGCCGCTGTGTGTGCTGACTGCTTGTATCTCTTGCCTCACTTCATCCACACAGGGGTCTCGCTAGGCAGCTCCTGTATTTTACAGATAAGGTCACATTAGCTCAGCGCTTCTCAGTCGGGGTGCTCCTGCCCCAGGGGATGATGCTCAGCAGTGTCTGGGGACATCTGTGGTTGTCACACTGGGGGTGCTCTTGGCATCCAGTGGATGGGGCCAGGGAGGCTGCTCCACACCCCCCAGTGCCTGGGATTGCCCCCCAGAGGATGACCGGCCCCGGTGTCCGCAGCACCGAATGGGAGAGGCTGGACTGGATACACATTTCCCAGTCCTTCTGGAGCTTTGCCCGTTCTCTGATCCTCGATTAATTCCTGGACCAGAGCCCAACCTGTGGAGAGTTGGGAATCACTGACCAACCCCCCGTTTTTCATCCTCTTGTGTGCTGTTTCTTTTTATTTATTTATTTATTCATTTATTTATTTTGGCTGCACCAGGTCTTAGTTGCGGCGTGCGGACTTCTTAGTAGTGGCATGCATATAGGATCTAGTTCCCCAAGCAGGGATCCAACCCGGGCCCCCTGCACTGGGAGCATGGAGTCTTACCCACTGGGCCACCAGGGAAGCCCCATCGTGTGCTATTTCTTCAGTAACTGAGGCTAAGGCATTCAGCACTAACATCGCAGGTGGAATTGCCTGCTGCTCCTGCTGGCGGGTGTAACCCAGGGTCCGTGGCTTCTCTGGGGCGGGGTGTGCCGTCGGGGTGCTGTAGAAGCAGGAGGAACCAGCCGGGCCCAGCCATGGGGAGTCAGGGCCCGAGGCCGGTCCCGCCCGAGTCCCTCGCCCCGACCCTGGCAAGGGCGCCCATTCTGGTTTTCCTCTCTTCCTCCCAAGGGATGCCCTATGGCAGCCGAGAGAACTCCCTCCTCTACTCCGAGATCCCCAGGAAGGTCCGGAAGGAAGCACTGCTGCTCCTGTCCTGGAAGCAGATGCTGGATCACTTTCAGGTGAGCCATGGGAGTCGGGCCCTCCCGGTGGGCAAGGCAGGTGGGCGCATGGCAGCCCCTTCTTCGGCCTCACTCAGCTTCCTTGGGCCCTGCACCCACCCCACCCCTCCTGAGGGGGTCCCAGCCCATCCCCCGCTTAACGGCAGCCCCTCAGAGAGGAGCGCCTGGCCCTGGACACCTGTGCCACACCCACCCCCTCCCTTTGGTGCACACCTGAGCCCCAGCGTGTAGCTTGCGGCGACAGCTCCCATCAGAAGCACGTCTTCCTCTTAAATGCCTCACCAACGGCGTGCAAGTAACTTGGGCCGAGACCCTTTTATAGAAATTTAGCTAATAATGGATGCCGCCCAAAGTCACCTCGCTTCCAGAGGGGCAGACGGCCGTTGAGCGGCGAGAGTGCTTTGTGCACTGGTGTACGTTGATTTATTTTTGATCAAAAATAAAATATGACAGTACGCAGGGAAGGGAACCCGTGCAGCCCCTCTCTTCTGCCTGTCCCCTGTCCCGGGCTGACCAACTCCTATTCACACGGCTTTCCTCGCAGCGTGGGGCTCATTGTGCTTTGGATTCTGCTCTTTAAAAATGCAATTCTGGGAATTCCCTGGCGGTCCAGTGGTTAGGACTCCGCGCTTCTGCTGCAGGGGGCGCAGGTTCGATCCCTGGTCAGAGGACTAAGACCATGCATGCCACGCAGCACAGCCAAAAAAAAAAAAAAATTAATAAATTAAGAAAATAAAAATGTATTTCTTCCCTTTAACGTTCCTCTGAATTTCCACATCATCTTCAGAATTCTTCTTGGGGCAGCTGCATGGTGTCCACCATAGTTTACCTGCCCGCCCTGCCCAAGGTCAGGCGTTAGGGTGGTCAGGCGTGGAATCTGCCCCACCCCTACCCATGCCAAGAGCATGAACAGCTGGTGGTGGGTGGCTTCAGCTCGAATGCTCTCGCAGGAAGAGGCTGTGACCAGGGAGGGAGGGCGGGGGTCTGTAGGGTGTAGGGTGGCCCTGGGGGTGGAGGAGGGTCTCATGTGTCCTAGAGCGATTTGGTGGGGGGGTGAGGAGGTTGCAACTACAGGTGAGCCCCGCAGCCCTGCCCGTCTGTGCCGCTCTGTGGCCAGGGTGCTGGAGCCTCCAGCTGCTGATGCCAGTGTTCCGTCCCGCCCCCCGGCCCCGCCCAATGTGTCCCCAGGCCACGCCGCACCACGGGGTCTACTCCCGGGAAGAGGAACTCCTGCGGGAGCGGAAGCGCCTGGGCGTCTTCGGCATCACCTCCTACGACTTCCACAGCGAGAGCGGCCTCTTCCTCTTCCAGGCCAGCAACAGTCTCTTTCACTGCCGGGACGGCGGCAAGAACGGCTTCATGGTGAGCCCCCGCTCTCTGGTGGGGGGAGGCGGGGCAGGTGGCGGCCTCCTGACCCCCTGAGCTGGGTCTCTGTGTGTCCCCAGGTGTCCCCCATGAAGCCCCTGGAAATCAAGACCCAGTGTTCCGGGCCCCGGATGGACCCCAAGATCTGCCCCGCCGACCCCGCCTTCTTCTCCTTCATCAACAACAGCGACCTGTGGGTGGCCAACATCGAGACGGGCGAGGAGCAGCGGCTGACCTTCTGCCACAAGGGTGAGGCCGGGTGGAGGGCGCCGGGGAGGAGGGCGGGGCGGATGGGAACCGGCACCCCTGGTGTGGTCTGTCATCACAGCCACCAGTCCAGCTTCTAGAAAGACTCCCACCCCTGTCACTGTGCTCCCTGCTGGACCACCAGGCGCCTTCCCAGACCGTGATCCCACGGCCCCCCTCCCGTGGCTCCCCCTCTGGCCCCACAAAGAGTCCAGCTGCCTGGCTCAGGGTCTGCCTCTGCATGAATCGCCCCGGCCACTGGGGCCTGGCCTCCACGCTGGACACTTGTGCGCCTCTGCTCCCCTCCGCCCCTCCTGCCTCCGCCCTCCTGTCCCCATGCCATTCTTCCAGCCCAGAACTCACCAGACCCGGCCTTCCCCTCAGGCCCCTGCTTGCCGACAGTGACATCAATCCTGTGCAGATATATCTGCGGGACTGCATGGGTTGTGGCCTCTGACCCTGATCCCTGCCTCCTGTCCTGCCCCAAGGCCCTGGTGCCCTCTCACTAAACCTGAGCTTCTCAGCCAGGGGCGACTGGGGTACTGGCCATGTGCTGAGACATTTTCAGCTGTCACAGCGAGGTGAGGATGCTCCTGGCATCGAGTGGGTGCGGCCAGGGAGACTGCTGTACACCCCACAGCGCCCAGGATGCCCCCACAGAGAACGGTCCGGCCCTGATGTCAGCCGTGCCAGGGGAGAAGCCCTGCTCTAAACCAGATTCCTCATCTCTCGCCTGGCCCCCTCCCCATCCAGGCTTGTCCAGTGTCCTTGACGACCCCAGATCCGCGGGTGTAGCCACCTTCGTCATCCAGGAAGAATTTGACCGCTTCACTGGCTACTGGTGGTGTCCCACAGCCTCCTGGGAGGGTAAGCGCCTTTCCATTTTTAGAAACACTTCTGCAAACACTTCTGTTAGCAGAAGCACAGTGTACATGCTGGTCTGCTCTTTGCTCTTTTCATTTAAGATAAACCTCAGCAACCTTCCCATCAGCATCCGTGTCTCAGTCCTTTGAGGCTGCTGTGACAATACCACAGCCAGGGCAGCTTATAAACAGCCGGCATTTATTTCTCACTGTTGCAAGGGCTGGGAGTCCAAGTCCAAGGCAGATTCGGTGTCTGGTGAGGGCCTCTTCCTTGTTCACGGATGCTGTCATATCACCCTGTCCTCACATGGTGAAGGGTCAGGGAGCTCTCTGGGGTTCCTTTTTTTTGTGTGTGTGCGGTATGCGGGCCTCTCACTGCTGTGGCATCTCCCGTTGCCGGGCACAGGCTCCGGACGCGCAGGCTCAGCGGCCATGGCTCACGGGCCCAGCCGCTCCGCGGCATGTGGGATCTTCCTGGACCGGGGCACGAACCCGTGTCCCCTGCATCAGCAGGCGGACTCTCAACCACTGCGCCACCAGGGAAGCCCTGGGGTTCCTTTTTATAGGGGCACTGATCCCCTTCATGAGGGCTCCACCCTCGTGACCTAATCACCTCCCAATACATCACACTGGGGGGTAGGGTCTAACATTTGAATTCTGTGGGAACACAGACATTTAGTCCATTGCAGTCAGCACCCAGAGAATCCTTTAACTGTGGATGTCCTGGGGGCATGGATGTACCACAGTTTAGTTAAGAAGTCCACACTGATGGGCACTTTGGCTGTTGCCAGTTTCCGGTTTGGGTTTTGCTTTGGTGTTGTAAACAATACTGCAGCGAAATCTTCCTACATTTATCCTCGTGACCTCCTGGGAGTATGTTAATGGTCCTCAGACAGGGGTGGTCTGCCCCGCCCCCCACGCCCAGGGGACACTGGGCCGTGTCTGGGGACATCTGTGGTTGTCACGACTGGGGGTGCTCCCAGTATCGAGGGGGTGGGGGCAAGGGTGCTTCTCCACACCCCACCCCAGGGTGGCCCCCCGCAGAGAATGGCCCGGCCCTAATGTCTGCAGCGCCAAGTATCGAAAATCCTGCCTTAGAGAAAATTCCCAGCTGTAGGAGAGATGAATTGAAGCTACATGCATCTTAAATCTTGACGGGTTTTGCCAACAAGTTAGAAAGAAGCCAGATCAGCAGGCCGCTTTGTATCTGTTTTTCTGTGCTGTGCGTGAGGTGAGGGTGTCTTATCTCCCCTGTTCAGTGGACCAAAGTCTGTTTCCTGAGCACGGGGAGAGTTGTTTCTTGCGGTGCGTGAGTACCATCACACCCTCTGCTGCACGAGCAGGAGTGGGCCAGGCCTCCGCTGCGCATAGAGTCCTCCCTGGCCTTAGCGCCTCTGTGTGCGTCCGTGCGCGAGCGGCCACGCAAGCCAGGATGCGGGGGCCCAGGCACTGGCCATCCGCCGCCTCAGCCGAGTGCCACCTCACCTGCTAGTCACCCCTGCCTTGACTTCAGCGTGTCTTCTCCTTAAATCAATTTGAAAAGAAAACATCATGGTCCTACCATGAATAGAAGCTAGGCATGAAAACCGTGCAGCGGAGAGAAACCAGCGCCGAACATGCTAGCCAGCGCCCAGGTAAAGGACGACTTGCCAGCGTCAGGCGCCTAAGGGCTGCTGGTGCTGCCGAGACGGGGCCGGGATCGGCACGTTCCTGGGGAGGACGCCGCACGCGCTCCCCCTTCATCTGGGCCGGGGTCTTTCACCACCGCAGTGCTGTGTGTGCCCCTGGTCCGTGTCTCTGGGGAAAAGGGCTCCAGGTCAGGAGTCAGGGTCCTGGGTCAGGTCACTCAGCTTGTGACTCTGCGTGCCTGAAGCAGGTGACCATCCACCCTTCGACTTCCGGCCTATAAAGTGAGGTCTCTCCCCCTTGGCCCTGTGGCCACGGAGGCTGGGTCATTCTCTGTGGGGGGCCTTGGTGACTCAGTGTGTCACCTGTCACCTGAGTTGTGACAGCCACAAATGTCCCCAGACATTGCCACATGGCCCCTGGGGACCCAGAATGGCCCCTGGTTGCCATCCACTGGTCTCAATGACATCAAGATACTGACTCTACTATTCTTAACAGCTCAGAACCCCTCAGATAGAGCCCCTGAATGCTGAGGCCAAGGGACGTCTACCCCGTTTGCTGTAGCCCCACTCATGGCATGCACCCGTGGAGCTACATGACCACAGCAACCCAAGAGGGTCTTTCCTGGCCAGGAAACTCAGGGCCCCGGAACAACCCATGCCCAGTGGACAGACATAGGAGCCCTTATCACTGAGTCTGAGCTGCAGCACTTCCACTGCCTCAGCCCTGTGGCTGCCAGCGCCCCATAGAGCAGGTGTGGAGACCTGAAGGCAGGGTGGGCTTGGCCGAGGTCAGCGGATGTCATTGGTTCGTCCTAGTGAGTCAGACGAGGGTACAGGAAGCAGATGGGGACCCTTCTCGGCAGCCGAGAAAGGAACAGCCGTGGGCTCCGTCCCCTTGATGTTGGCATTGCCAGTGCTCACGCCCCTTGCTAGGCTGTCAGCTCCCAGTGATTCGGTTACTTCTCATGACAACTTCCACTGTACCGCTTCTTGAGCCCTGCCCCAAGTGTTAGTCTGCTCGGGCGGCCGTGACCATGTCCCACAGATGGGGCAGCTCAGACGTCACAGCCTGGAGGCTGGACATCTGAGATGGAGGTGTCGGCAGGTTTGGCTTCTTCCGAGGCCTCTCTCCTCAGCTTACAGACGGCTGCCGTCTCCCCCTGTCCTCAGGTGGTCTCCCCTCTGTGTGTCTGTGTCCTAACCTCTTTCTATAGCAACAGCAGTCATACTGTATCAGGGCCACCCTCAGGGCTGCATTTTAACCGAATCACCTCTTTAAAGACCCCGATCTCCAAATACAGTCCCGATCTGAGGTCCAGGGGTTGAGACTTGAATGTAGGAATTGGGTGGGCGTGTGGTTCAGCCCGTAAGTCCCCACGTGGCCATCTCCCTTGCCTTCCCGTGCTGGGAAGAGCGCCGTTCCTGCTCTGGTTTTACAGGGAAGGAAATCGAGGCCCCAGGAGGACATGTGACTGGCTTCAGGCCTAGTACACGGCAGAGCTGGGTTTCTGGCCCCAGGGGCCATTCTTGTCTGGGCCCTGCCATGGTAGAGCAGAGTCCCCGTGTGGGCAGGGGGGTGCGGGGCGGCAGAGGGGACACCCGGCACCCTCAGCAGCGGCCCTGCCCCCTCCCAGGTTCAGAAGGCTGCAAGACGCTGCGGATCCTGTACGAGGAAGTGGACGAGTCCGAGGTGGAGATCATTCACGTGCCCTCTCCCGCGCTAGAGGAGAGGAAGACGGACTCCTACCGGTACCCCAGGACAGGTGAGGGCCCAGGACACACGAGGGCGGCTCGGCTCTGAAGCCTCATAGAACACGGTGAGGCACCAGCCAGGATGGGCCCACAGGACCCAGACAGGGATGGCCCCGGAGAAGCAGGCTGCACTTGGGAACAACAGCCAGGCCAGCGCCACCGTCAGTGGTGACTGGTGTCCTGCCTCGGGGCCCAGGAGACAGTAGGAGCCCTGGGGAGGCAGTGGGAGGTGTGGGCCCCCTCCAGGGTCGCATCAGACACTCACTGCCTTGTGAGAATACAGGGTTTGCCCAGAAATACATGGAAGTCCCAGAAATCTACCAATTCTTAAACGTGGCTCGAATCATTTAAAAATACTTAGCAGGACTTCCCTAGCGGTCCGGTGGTTAAGACTCCACGCTTCCACTGCAGGGGGCACGGGTTCGATCTCTGGTCGGGGAACTAAGATCCTGCATGCCGCACGTGGCACGGCCAATTTAAAAAAAAAAAAAAAGACTTAGCCACACAAAATACATGTGCAGGCCAGGTTCAGCATCTTTGGGACCTCCGTGGAAGCCTACGACAGACTCGTTCTTGCTAACTGTGGGCCGTGCTAGGCAGAGCCTCCCTACGGAAACTTCCAGTCCCTGGTGTGAACGGCGAAGTTGGTCCTTCCCTTCCCCTGTTGGAGAGACGAGGAAGCAGAGGCACCGAGACATTACCTGCTGGGGTGCGAGAGCCACGGGGGCCAGAGTTGAGATCCGTCATAGGAATAACGGGGGCCTGAACCAAATCCCACCCTGGAGGGCATGTCTCGGTCACCCCAGCCAATAGGCCACCTGCCTCCCGACAGCTGAAGACTGGCTGTGTCACTGGGACGTGGGCCACCTTTCTGCATCATTGGTGCTTTTGTTACGGGCGTGTGCTGTCTTTGCAGCCAGCATTCAAGCTCTCCAGAGGCAGAGAGGCATCTTCCTCGTGTTTGTGTCCCGCTCACGGCCCTCCCACCAGCCCAGGCCTGACCTATGTTCTTAAACAGCAGAGACGTTGCCACGTCACTGTCGGGACTAAGGTCCAGGCCCAAAGTCAGACAGTCCTGCCTGGGGGACTTTGTGCCTGGGCCAGAGAGGGTGACGCACCTACAGAGAGACCTTTGGCCACCTGGCGCCTTCCTCCCCTCCCCCCGTGCCAGCCATGTCACTGCCTGTGAGGATCACCCCCCACCCCAGCCACCGCCCCCAACACCTGCTCTGAGCCCTCTTGGCGACACCTGCCAGATCCACCTCGCTTTCGTTTCTGCAGGCAGCAAAAATCCCAAGATCGCCTTGAAACTGGCTGAGTTTCAGACCGACAGTCAGGGCAAGGTAAGAGGGGTCTGGGCGCCCGGGAGAAGCTTCTGGATGAGGAGAGGAGGGCCGGGGTGTGTGCTGGGAGACGGGTCCGGAGGCTGCTCGCCCCCATTGCATGGCAGGTGCTTCTCTTGGCCAACAGCCTGAAGAGGTTCTGCCCGGAGCCCCAGCTTCCAGGCTGGGCCCTGCCGCCCGTCACTCTGAACCTGGACTCCGAGATGGGGAGTGGTGAGCCCAGCCCCACCTGCCTCCAGGTGGCCCCGAGGCGTGGGGAGGGGACGCCCGGGCACACGAGGGCGGTGGCTCGCAGAGCTTCCAGAACAGGGAGCTCAGAGGGGTGGGGAGCAGTTGCCTGGAGCACCCTGACCTCAGGCTAGGGGTGCCCCACCCCAGCCTCTGAGCAACTCCTCACATATCACTTCACCGGCCCCATCTGTTCTGCATCCTTCCCTCTGTCAGCTGGTCGTCGTCGCAGACAAGGGTCCTCATCGCCCAGGGAGTCGTTCCTCAGGACCCCACAGCCAGGAGGGCAGAGGAGGCTAAGGGGAGAAGGGCTGTAGGGATGCCCAGCCCCACGTGGGGATGTCAGAGGGCGACGCCCCTCGCAGCAGAGGTTGGAGCAGGCGGACGAGCCGGGAAGCCCCTGCATATTTTTGCCAAAGTGGCTTCTCACGTAATGTTTCATAAAAGAGGCGTGAGATTAAATACACCTATTTTCATGATTGGGGGGGTGGTTTTGGGTTTGGGCATGATTAGGCCCTAACCAAACCCCTTCTGCACTCTTGACCGGAACATTACGGCAGATTCTACAGGGATCTGTCCTAAGTGGCTTTGCTGAACCCCCACCAGCTGTTGTAAATGGTTCCTGGCCGCGTCGGATGGGCAAGGTCCCGAGGCGGGCGTGGGTTTTGCCCACTGAACAGGCAGGTGGGGCAGGCGGGGGTTGGTGGCGAGCCTGGGTGTGGGCCGTGCTGAGGCCCTGCCCGCCTCTTCTGTCACCCCTCCCGGGGAGATGCCCTGCCAGCCCCGTGTCACCTCCAGGAAGCTGCAGCGGCCAGAGGCTGTGTCTTACCCAAGGCCACCCGGCTCTTCAGTGACAGCCCAGGCCAGAGCCCTTGGTTTCCAGGCAACAGGCTGTCATAGCAAAGTACCACTGGGAGGTTTAAGCCACTGAAGTTCATCATCTCCCGGTTCTGGAGGCTAAAGGTCCAAAATCAAGGTGTTGACAGGGCTGGCTCCTTCCGAGGCCTTGAGGGAAGATCTGTTCCAGGCAGCCCCCCTTGGCTTGGAGACAGCCGCCTGCTCCCTGTGTCTCGTCACAAGACGTTCTCTGCCTGAGTGGTGCCTCTGTCCCTTTTTATAAAAACATCTGTCCTGTTAGGTTGGGCCCCCCCACCCCAGTACGACCTCATCTGAACTAGTCACACCTGCGACCACCCCGTTTCCAAATAAGGCCCCCTTCTGAGGTACCAGGAGTTAGGGCTCCAACATGTGGAGCCGGGGGGGACACAGTGCCCCCCAACAGTGGCTGTCTCCTCCTGGGCAGCACATGGGCAGGCCGGACTGTGACCCGAGTCTGCTTTGCCTTTAGATTGTGTTGACGCGAGAGAAGGAGCTGGTGCAGCCCTTCAGCACGCTCTTCCCGAAGGTGGAGTACATCGCCAGGGCCGGCTGGACACGCGACGGCAAATAGTGAGTGTCTCCCTCACTAGGTAGAAGGTGTCCCTTCGCAGCCATTTTCTACCTCTTCTGCCCAAGTTGGGGCAGACGCCTCTAAACCAGGGCCCCAAACCGCCACCCGGAGGCCAAATCCAGCCTGCTGCCCGTTACCATCCAGCCCACAAGCCAAGAATGGCTTGTCCGTTTTTTCAGTGATGCAGGGAGAGATCCAAAGAAGAGTATGTTGGGGGCTTCCCTGGTGGTGCAGTGGTGAGGTCTCTGTGCTTCCACTGCAGGGAGTGCGGGTTCGATCCCTGGTCAGGGAACTAAGGTCCCACAGGCCACGCAGCACGACTGGGGGAAAAAAAAAAGAAACTGTCCACTTAGAGTAGAATATGAAACAAAGGATAAATAAAGGCTGAGGATTTGGCAGAAGTCGGCCAAGTTTACAAATCATGCGAGGTGTTTTCAGAACAAACTGGATTGCACGGTTCTGTCAGCACCCCCGTCTCCCCTTGAGCAGGCGTGCCGGCTACGGACCCTTTGCGTGCTGCAGGGTCACCTGCTCAGGTGTCAGTGAGGTCGGCAAAGGAGGCGCCGTTCTGATCAAACACAAGTGTGGAAAGGGGGCCATTGGGCCCTGGCTGGCCTCCGCTGGCCCCTGAGGTGCCGGTCCTCTCTTGCCTCGCCCCCCAGTGCCTGGGCCATGTTCCTGGACCGGCCGCAGCAGCGGCTTCAGCTCGTCCTTCTGCCCCCGGCCCTGTTCATCCCCACCGCCGAGAACGAGGAGCAGCGGGCAGCCTTCGCCAGAGCCGTGCCCAGGAGCGCCCAGCCGCACGTGGTGTACGAGGAGGTCACCGACGTGTGGATCAACGTAAGGGCAGGGGTGTGTGCCCCGCCCGGGCCGGGGTCCCGCGTCCCCGCCCCCAGCTCCCCAGCTGGACGGGGGCTGGCGATGTGGAGAAGCCAGCTCCGGAGGGAGAGTCGGTGGGGTCTGACCTCTAGCCAGGCAGTTGGAGCCTCCCCTTTCTCAAAGGGATGTGTCCCCCCACCACCCCAGCCCCCGCCTCTGACACATCCTCTCTCTCTCTCTGCCCGGACAGGTTCACGACATCTTCTATCCCTTCCCCCAACCAGAGGGAGAGGATGAACTCTGCTTCATCCGCGCCAACGAGTGCAAGACTGGCTTCTGCCACTTGTACAAAGTCACCGCTGTTTTGAAGCCCCGTGGCTACGACTGGACCCAGCCCTTCAGCCCCGGGGAAGGTGAGCGACCCTGACTAACACCTTGCTCATGGCCTGTGGTTCAAGCCAGTGGTTTGTTCCCTGGTCCCGCCCCAGAGGGAGTGGGTGCCAATGACTAAGAAGCCGGCCTTTCCCAGTGCCAGTCCTGGTCTGGCAGGGTTATCACAGCCAGCTCCCGGCTTAGTCAGGCGGCAGTATTTATTGAGCGCCGACTACATGCTAGGCCCTTTGCACACCAAGTCTGTGCTGTCTGGCTCTTTACAGGCAAAGCTGCCCCGCCCTAGGTGCGGGGTGGGGGTGGGGCGGGTATCACTGTAGGAAGAGAAAACCGAAGACCTCTGCTCTGGTGGAGGAGGCAGGCATCATCCAAATACAGTGAGAGGCCAGGAGGCCAGGGGCACAGCAGTGGATAACGTGCCACAGAGCAGAGACCGGGTGGAGGCAGAAGCAGCCACGACACGGCGCTCCAGGCCGAGGGTCAGCCCGTGCAAAGGCCCTGCGGCAGGGCAGGGCTGGGCCTGGCGTGTTGGAGGGACAGCCAGGAGGCCCGTGTGGCTGGAGCAGAGTGAGCGAGGGGGAGACAGGGAGGAGGGGAGGGCAGGGAGGGGACGGGGCGGGTGGCACAGGGCCTCGTGGGCCGCGGGGAGGACTAGGGCTTTTACCATTGACCTTCGGCCGGTTTAGAATGATTCTTGTGGCTGTTCATGGAGCAGAGCCTGGGGGAGGGGGGAGGTGGCAAAGTTGGGGCCAGGCAGTGGGGCTGGGCTGACTCTGCTCCAGATCCAGGTGGGCCCGATTCTGGGTGCACTTGACTGCTGAGCTGACACGGTGGACTGCACTGGGGTCTGAGAGAGAGAGGGACGGCGTGGACGTCTGAAAGGGCTTTGGAGTCTGAGACGGAAAGACTCTGAGGGGACAGTTTAGGAGAGAACTGTTGAGTTGGGTTTTGGACATGTTCAAGTTGAAGCTCCGTGCAGGTTCTGGGGACCAGGGTGGATCCACGGTGGGAACGTGGGTGTCCTCACACACGGATGGCATCTCAGCCTGGGGACAGGCTGGGGCACCAAGGGCGGAGCCTGGGCAGGTAGGGTGTGGTCTGAGTGCCAAACAGGGCTCTCAGAGCTTGGAGCAGGGTCTCCCCGGCACTGCGGACATCAGGGCCGAGTCACTCTCTGGGGGGTGTCGGGGCGCTGTGGGGTGTGGAGCAGCATCCCTGCCGCCACCCACTTGATGCCAGGAGCACCCCTGTTGTGACAACCACAGATGAACCCAGACACCTCCCAGTGTCCCTTGGGGGTGGGACTGTCCTGGATGAGCCACAGGGCTTCAAGGCCATGCCCGCTAAGGAGACTGAGGCCGCCACAGTGTGAAGACGGTCACCCAAGGGAGGGGGTATCCGGGGGGCTCAGGCGCCGCAGGAGCCCGAGGGTCAGGAACAGACTAAGCCACAAGCTGCCGGGGCGTCAGGTGAGATGGGGACCAAGGAGTGACCAGCGTCTGGGCGTTGTTGTCCTTCAGGGTTGAGCGCGGCCGTCACAGGCCAGCTGAGCCGTCTCAGAGACACTCGTCAGCATTTGCTTTTCTGTTTGGAAACCCCCTCACCTTGGAGATCTCACTGGAGAAATCCTCATCCTCCCTCTTGAAATGGGCAGCCAAGAGCTCTCGTTCTGCCTGGTGGTTGTTGAGTGGGGCTCATGGCAGGTGCCCCCGGGGGACCCCTGCCTTTGAGGTGGGCCCTGCTGGTTTCCCCTCTGCCCTTTGGTGCCCCGACTGCATCCTCCCCACCGCCCTGCCTCAAGGCCTCCGCCTGCTGCAGGCTACTGAACGGTCCAGAAGGCAAGGCCAAAGGAGTGGGTTCCTTAAGGGCGTCCCGGCCGAGTGGGAGGGCGGTCAGGAGGCTGGGGGACCCGGTCAGGAGGAGTGTGTCCAGGTGACACAGGTGGCTCCCCAGCGAGGGGCCGGGAAGGGAGGAGGGAGGAGCCTGGCATGGTCTGCAGGACCCTCTGGGCCGTGAACAGCGTGGGCTTGAGCCCAGAAGATGACTGAGGGCAGTCAGAGTGAGTGGGAGCAAGGCAGGGGGACCAGGAGGCCTTGAGCCATCGCCCAGGCCTCCTGGGGGCAGCAGGAGAATTGAGGGCACAGCGACTGTGGACTGGGAGCAGGCGTGTCGGCAGGGCCGGCCCCAGAGGAGGCCTGTGCGACTGGGCTCCCTGCCTGGGCCCAGCAGAGTGGGTGTCAGCAAAGGCGTGAGTGGGCAGGAAGTGGGGCATCCGGCCCCTGGTGAGTGAGGGGCGGAGGAACAGCCCTCCCTCCCGGGTCTCCTTGTGACAAGTCACCCGGCCCAGGTCTCTGCACTGGAAGTTCCTGACTGTGCAGCCCTGTGGATCTGTGCGGGGACATCTGTCCCTCCCTAGGTGACGTGGTCAGTAGTTTGCTTCAGATCCAAGAGGATAGAAAACAATTTTAGGGACTTCCCTGGTGGCACAGCGGTTAAGGATCTGTCTGCCAATGCAGGGGACACGGGTTCGAGCCCTGGTCCGAGAAGGTCCCATGTGCCACGGAGCAGCTAAGTCCGTGCGCCACAACTACTGAGCCCGCGCACCTACAGTGCGTGCTCCACAACAAAGAAGCCACCGCAATGAGAAGCCTGCGCACCGCAACGAAGAGTAGCCCCGGCTTGCCGCAAGTAGAGAAAGCCCATGTGCAGCAACGAAGACCCAGTGTGGCCAATAAATAAATAAATATTTTAAAAAAAAAAAGAAAAGGAAAGAAAACAATTTTAGCCAGTGCTCATAAACTGTCTTAATAATTTCTAACATGTGGCAAGACACATTCCGTATTGTTATGTACCTGGTAAAAATTCAACAGCGAGGCCTACCCACCAAAAAACCTCCTGTAACTCCATTGAGCCTTTGCTCAGCCCCAGAGTTTAATCAAGATCTGGTTACGTGGCCTAAGCAGTCACAGGTCCAGGCATGGAAGGTGGCGGTTTGACCTGCAGGATTCTAAAATTGGGTGCTTTTTTTTTTTTTTTTTTTTTTTTGACCACATTGCCTATGGGATCTTAGTTCCCCAACCAGCCATTGAACCCGCGCCCCCTGCAGAGGAAGTGCAGAGTCTCTACCACTGGACCACCAGGGAAGTCCTGAAAATTGGGTGCTTTTGATAAAAATGCAGATCCCTGGTTTTTCTGGGGAAATGCTGGCGCCCCATCCACATGGTGGGAACCTCGCACCTCGCGCCCTGGGCCGTGGTGTGGCGGGTCCTTGTACCATCCCTGGGGCCCAGCCAGTGTACCTGCCCATCACCTGGCTGCCTGGGCTCCGTGGAGGATTCGTTGTGTGCTTTGAGTCCCCATCATAGCTTCCCGGGCTCCCTTCACCTCTTTTCCTTTCTTCCAGATGAATTTAAATGCCCCATCAAGGAGGAGATCACACTGACCAGCGGCGAATGGGAGGTTTTGGCAAGGCACGGCTCCAAGGTACCCGAGTCTCCATGCACGCTTGTACACGCATATGTGCACAGACACAATGCACACGCGCTCCCGCCCCCTCCAGACCCCCCGGGCCTGTGGCTTCTCTCTCCGCCCCCTCACCCGGCCACTCCCTCCTGCTCTGCACGCCGAGGGCCACGGGGGCTGTGCTTCCCACCAGCTGGAGACCCTGGGTCCAGGAAGCAGGCTGTCCTGAGCATCCTTTGTTGGATCCTAGTGGGTGAGGCCCAGCCCATTCTCAGTGCCACCTGGAGCATTCACTTAGCCTCCATCCACTCCATGAAGCCACCTGTCCCCAGGACAGCAGTCTGTGAGTCTGTGGGACACTGGTGGTGCCCACCGTAGAACTGTCCTGCAGCTTCCAATGGGGGACCACCCCCATGCCTGCCCCGGGAGGTTTGGGAACAAAAGATGCAGCTGCAGGGCTGAGAGGTGGACCTTCCACTCCCCGACCCAGATGCTCCATCATAAAAATGTGACCAGGGCTTCCCTGGTGGCGCAGTGGTTGAGAGTCCATCTGCCGATGCAGGGGACACGGGTTTGTGCCCCTGTCTGGGAAGATCCCACATGCCGCGGAGTGGCTAGCCCATGAGCCATGGCCGCTGAGCCTGTGCGTCCGGAGCCTGTGCTCCGCAGCGGGAGAGGCCACAGCAGTGAGAGGCCCACGTACCGCAAAAAAAAAAAAAAAAAAAAAAAAATATGACCAGAGTATCTTCACCGGGGTCCAGGTCTACAGAATTCCAGATTTTCCAAAGAGACCCCTTAATCAGACCTCCTGGATTCCTACCTCACACCAGCATGAAGGCCTCCTGGACCAAAGACTTAGATGGAAAAAACTAAACCATACAAATAACCAGGAGGAGATGTGGCCAACCCTTTTAAAGTTGAGAGGTGGGCTGCCTGTGTGCTGCCCAGGGCTGCCAAGAGAAGGGGGCCAGGCACCCCTGGGCAGCGCAACCAGGGGGCGTGGCTCGACCTTTCTGGGGTGCAGAGGCGGCATCTATTACAGCGTCAATCTATGTTTCACCTGACCCGGCAGCCCCAGGTCTAGGCGTGGACCTTACGAGGCCACCCCAGGGCACACTCGAGAGGTTAACATGCAAGTGTACATTGCTGTGCTCTTCATACAGTGGGAAATAGTGGTTAGAAAACACTCGAGCAAGAGAAAAGTGTTATTGCTGAGTTCCGGTTCTGTAGGTAACTGTGTCCATTCCCGTATGACCACACCTGGCCCTACTCAGTCGCTCTGCTGTGGTTGAAGCTCACTGGAGGCCCCTGTGCTCGTAGCCTCGCTCGGCCCCTCGCTAGCTGGGTGCTAAGACTCAGTTTCCTCACCTGTGAGATGGGACCATCAGATAGCGCTGGTCCTCTCCACAGCAGTTTCTCCCTTGGCGCCATGGACACTTGGGGCCAGAGATGGGCACTGTGGGTGTGGAACAGCCTCCCTGGCCCCCACCCTGGGGGTGACAACCACAGATGTGTCCAGAGGCTGCCAAACGTCCCTGGGGGGCAGAACAGCCCTGGGTGAGGACCCTGCTTTAAAATACTTGGACGCCCTCAGCGCAGCATCTGGCAGACACACAAGACAGTCCTTTCTCTAAGGACTTCCCTGGCGGTCAAGTAGTTAGGACTCGGTGCTTTCACTGCCGAGGGCCTGGGTTCAGTCCCTGCTCAGGGAACTAAGATCCCACAAGCCGTGTAGTGCAGCCGAAAAAAAAAAAACCCAAAACCTTTCTTTAACGTGAAAGTTTTACTTTCTGCATGCCTTATCTTTTTACCCAGAAATTTTCTTTAAAAAAAAAGCATTTTAAGAATTAAAAAGGGAAAGAGAGCCCTCTGCCACCGCCACGGCCGCGTGCTCCATGTGGCCTGTGCCATGGCCCCGGACCTCGGTGGGTCCCCCGCCTGGAGATCCTTCCTGCCTGCATATCTTCTCACATGGTCCTTGTGACGACAGCAGCACACGACTTAACTACCTGTGGTGTGGGGTTTTCCCACGACATCCTCCATTTCTAGAAAACCAGCATTTATTTTTCCAAGTACAGTGACAGCGAACACATCAGTGTTTGTTGTAAAAATTGAATCGTTCTAAATAATCCCCTTCCATCCTCACCCCAGACCCCTGTGACCTCCCCACTCCGCCTCAGAGGTGACCACGGGGGGAAATCACTGCAAATCTTTCCTATTTTCACACATCTCCACAGGAGCATCATAATTGTAGAGGATTTGTAGGGGTTTTTTAGACAGTACAGCTTTATGTGGCCACAGAGAACTGTGCCGTAATTACGGAGCCAGTCTGTCTTTTGGGCATTCGGGGTGTCACCTCTCTTTAGTCTGAAGAACACTTGGAGCATCTTTGTGCCTTCGTTTTGAACTCACCTCTCTGGTGGAGTCCTCAGGAGCAATTCCCAGGGGTGTAATTGCCGGTTCGGAGGATGTGCCTTTTTGAAGTGCCTCTTTAAGCATCTGTGCTGCGTGGTCAGCCCCAGCAAGGCAGTGCCTGTTCCCGGCCCCAGAGCAAGGTTCCTTCCTGCACCTCCTGAGGACAGTGCCTAAGAACCGTGCCAGGGGTCTGATGGGCGTTCCCCCAGGAAACCGGTGGGGCAGGGAATTACCACTGCTTAACCCTGAGCACCTGGGTCAGAGAGGTGGGCTGTCCCCACTGGGGACCAGGGCCGGGGGACTGGCAGGCCCAGGACAGGCCCTCCCTCAGCCTCTGTCCCAGCACTGGGGCCTCAGCCCCCCTCAGCGGCTGATCTGGATCTGCCTGGAAGGAGCTGTCCGGACCCGGAGTTCTGATTGCAAGTCAGACCGGAGAACACGCAGTTAGCCCAGCCCTAGTGGGGTCTGCTCCTGCCCCACGGGGTCTGTGAAGTCTCCCAGACAGCTCTCCAGCCTGTGGGCTCAAGCCAGCTCGGAGAGAACGGGTCCCCTGTCCACAGAACGCTGGGCCCTCCCTGGGGGTGGGGAGGGCGGCCCTGTCACCAAGAGCCCCCGTGCCCCCGCAGATCTGGGTCAACGAGGAGACAAAGCTGGTGTACTTCCAAGGCACGAAGGACACGCCCCTGGAGCACCACCTCTACGTGGTCAGCTACGAGTCAGCCGGCGAGATCGTGCGCCTCACCACGCCCGGCTTCTCCCACAGCTGCTCCATGAGCCAGGTGGGCACCTCCCTGATGCTCCCTCCCTTGGAACATTCTGGAAGATCAGGCAGCATTCTGGAACATGAGCACAGGGCTACCCCCATCCCGGGCAAGCAGCCAGTGGCTGTTTGCTGGCTGCAGAACCAGCAAGATAGGCACACTCTGGCATCGGGCAGGTCTGGCTCTGACCCCCACCCCCGCTGGGTCCAGCGGCCTCCGCCTGGGGTCCCCTGGCCAGGGGACAGGCTCCTCTCACCTCAGTCTGCTTATCTGCAAGGCAGGGCTGGTGGTAACAGCAGCAGAGTTAGGCAGGGGAACACACCACACGGGGTGAAGATGGCATGTGGTTGATGCAGGTGGCGGGCGAGCAGGGAGGGGGAGGGGGAGGTGCCCCGCGGTCTCAGCACCCCGTCCCGCCTGCAGAACTTCGACATGTTCATCAGCCACTACAGCAGCGTGGGCACGCCACCCTGCGTGCATGTCTACAAGCTGAGCGGCCCCGATGACGACCCCCTGCACAAGCAGCCCCGGTTCTGGGCCAGCATGATGGAGGCGGCCAGTGAGTAGCCCCAGGCCCCCGGGCTCCTGAGCGAGTCCTTCCCCTGGGGAGCCCCAGCTTTCTCGTCACAGGCCTGGTAAATAAGGCAGGTGAGAGGGGGCCATCTGGGCGAGCACAAGGCATTGAGCGGCGCGGCCCCGAGAACGGGTCGAGCATAACCACAGGTCCCAACCTGTCCTGTGGGCCCCCCGAGACAGTCTCTGGCTTCTGTGCTGCTGTTATGGATGGAGCACATACTCAGTGCAGGAGCCGACTCTGCCAGATGGATGGGGTCCCTACACGGGCCATCCTCGTCCTCAGGGGCGGCCGTCTCCAAGGGCGCCTGTGCAGAGCAGGCGCTCCAAAGCCTTCATTTGTGGAAGGAGCCGGGAGTAGGTCGTGAGGGGCCTCGGGGAGCACGAGGCAGCTTGTCAGTTTGCCCAGGAGCTTCCAGGGTGCCAGGACTCTGCCCGGTTGACCCCATGTTCCAATTCTGGCTGCGGAAGCGAAGGCAAGTCAGCTCATCTCGCTGAAATGTTTGCTTATCTACGGAACGGTCCAGTGGCCCCCCATGGGATGTAAACCAAGCGCTCACGTAGCGCCCAGCTCATAGGAAGCGCTCACTAAAGAGGACGCCCTTTCCTGAGCCCAGCCCTGCCACTTGCAGATTTCTAGAACATTGTAGGAAATAGGAACCCCTGGAGTTTGGGGTGGGCTTTATGGGCTGGAAAACAGTTTGTCACATCACCGCCCCCGAAAGCTGAATAAGCAAGCAGCTCCCTCCATCTGACAGCTCAGTCCCTGACTCTCCCCATGTCACCATGGATGTGACAGCGCGGGAACTCTGGCCCTGGTTCACAGAAGAGGAAACAGGGAAGGGAGGGGCCTGCCAAGGCACCCAGCACAGCCAGTGGGGCAGCACTGGGGGCACGGGTGTCCCGATCCCCAGCCCCCGGCGTGCAGGCAGGCAGACGGGGGCACCGCTGCCCCAAAAGTCCAGTCTCGCCACATCTGTGAGAAGCTGGCAAGCTGGCCTGTGGGCCAACTCCGGCCACGTCCAGTCATTTTGGCATCACCCGTGGTGACTGGGGCTGCAGCAGCGGCAGAGTCAAGTATAGTCAGCCCCTCCCTAGCCACAGGTTCCGCATCCACGGACGCAGCCAACCACAGAACGTTCCAAAGAGAAAAGCTTGAGCTGTGCGTGGCAGCTGTTCACATAGCGCTTGCATCGTATTTACATAACGTGTGGTATCAGGCATTATAAGTAACCTAGAGGTGACTTAAAGCTAAAGCATGGGGGAAGGTGTGCCTAGGTTATATGCAGATACTGTGCTATTTCACATGAGGGGCTTGAGCATTGGCAGGTTTGGGTATCTGAGGAGCGCCCTAGAGCCAATCCCCTGAGGATACAGAGCGACGAGTGTGGTTACAACCCAGAGACACACGACGGCTCTTCTGCGTGGAAAGCCAAAAATACTTACTACTTAGCCTTTTACAGTAAATATTTGCAGACCCCTGACCTACATCACTATTTACTTATTTTCCTCTTAAATGGACACTCTGTTTAACCTAAATGAACTTAAAGGAAGAGTTGTCTTCACCACTGGATTGGAAAACCAGTGTTGCTTTGCAAAGATACAGGTAACCATGAAAATCAGAGAGAGCCCCCTCCCCGCCATAAAACTGTCCATTAATCAGATCCCAGCGTTGTCATCACCTCCGTACTAGGTGAGCCAGTGTCGGGGCTCTGGAGTTGGTCCCGGCCAGACTGTGGCCTGGCCCGAGCTGGCTCACAGGGTGCAGGGTCACTTCCGCCCTCAGCCTCTGATTTTAACTGTCGGGCAGCACAGGAGATGGGGTGCCTCCGGTCCACCCTCCGGGGCTGGGGGAGTGTGGGCGTCGGCCAGACATGGGCCCTGCTTCGAGGTGGGCTTCCCGGGCCCGCCCCGGCCCAGCCCGGCCCTCGGAGCCACAGCCACTCTGTCTCCGCAGGCTGTCCCCCGGATTACGTGCCCCCGGAAATCTTCCATTTCCACACGCGCTCGGATGTGCAGCTCTATGGCATGATCTACAAGCCGCACGCCGTGCAGCCAGGGAAGAAGCACCCCACTGTCCTCTTTGTGTACGGAGGCCCGCAGGTGGGCGCTGCCCTGCTCCCCACACCCTCCCCCCTCCCCCAGTGCCCCTCCCCATCCCCACTGGCCACGCAGGGTCCTTGGGGGCCCCTGGCTCTCCGCACACCGCACTCTCCGGCACAGCCACCCTTTCACCTGCTGATACTCCCGTGTCCCTCTGGGAAGCCCCCCTAAACCCGGCGTGTGTGTCTGGGCCACCTGCCCAGCAGTGACCCACTCTCACCCCTGGTCACCAGCTTGGGGACAGAGGTGGCCAAGGGCCCTGGGCCCAGCTCTCTGTGAAGGGGACAGGCCAGGCAGGCAGGTTGGCAAGCAGGTCCATCTAAGAGAGCGGTTCTCTGCTGGAGGTGGTCTGTCCCCCAGGTGGTACTTGGCGATGTCTGGGGACGTTTGTAGTTGTCGCAGCTGGGGTGGGGGATGCTCCTGGCATCTAGTGGGTAGAGGCCTCGGATGCTGTCCACACCCTACAGTCAGCGGGATGCCCCTACCCGCAGAGGACGATACGGCCCCAAACATTCATCGTGCCAAATAAGGGACTAGCGTAAGTGACGTCACTTGGGGAACACAGCGCCCGCCACCCGCAGCAGTTTTTGTGTCTGTTTTTAGAGATAACTGAAGGGTAGAAAAGAAAGAGGCTGAAGAAATAAGGGAGTAATTCCATGGAGGGCCTGGGGCAGAGTCCCTGGCCGAGAAGGGAGCCTGGCCGGGGCCTTCCTCTCTGTAGCACATCCCAAGCACAAGGCCTGGTGCACAGTGGGCCCCCGTCTGACCTTCCCCTCCCCACCACTTCCACAACCTGCCCAGGGCCATCCATAGCCTTCACGATAGAGCACAGGCCCCGTCTTCAGGCTGTAAGCCCCCGTCCCATCCCGCTGGCGTCTCGCCCGTCTAGCCCATCCTGCCGGTGTTTTACTTGTATTTCTCACACTTGCCTCATCTCGCCTTCCCCACAGGTGCAGCTGGTCAATAACTCCTTCAAAGGAATCAAGTATTTGCGGCTTAACACTCTGGCGTCTCTGGGCTACGCCGTGGTCGTGATTGACGGCAGGGGCTCCTGTCAGCGAGGGCTCCGATTTGAAGGGGCCCTGAAAAACCAAATGGTAACATCTCTTCTCAGTCCCTTCCTGTGTGGTGAAGGGGGACCTGGGGCTTGGGGGTGGCCCTGGGCCACCTTCATCAAAGATGGTCCTGGCCAGGATGTCAGTCAGAAGTGGGGCGGCCTTTGGAACCAGAGGGAACATCCACTCTGTTGCTCAGCTCTGAGTTGAGCCTTTGGGGAGACAGGTAGACACACGCCCCACCTGGTGCCTAAAACCCAGATGCAGCCAGCCACGTCAGTATAGGCCTGATCAGCAGGAAGTCCCAAGGGTTGGGCAAGACAGGCACTGGTGGCTGTGGAAGTGGTGCTGATGGTGGTGATGGTGGTGGTGGTGATAATAACGATGGTGATCGTGATGCGGATGGTGATGGTGATGGTGGTGGTGATGCTGAGGATAATGGTGATGAAGGTGGAGATGGTGATGAGGATGAGGACGATGATGAGGATGATGCTGATGGTGGTGGTGGTGATGAGGATGGTGCTGACGGTAGTGATGACGGTGATGACACCAGCTGTTCATCAAGCCTCAGCATACGCCAGGCCTCAGAGTACAGGACACTCGGCATCTCGTTTCATCCTCACACCCACTGTAGACTCGGTCCTATTCATGTTGACGTCCTCGTTTTGGGGATGAGGAAACTGAGGCCCAGAGAAGGGACATGACTTTCTCAGAGTCAGCCAGGGGATGGTGGGGCAGGGTTGGTGCCAGGCCTGTCTGACCGCCACCCCAGACAGCAGATTTGCATGGGGCCTGGAGAGAGGGGTAGCTTCCAGAGAGCTGCTTTTGATCCAAGAGGAAGAGGGCTCCCTGCAAGGGAAGAGGTGGGACAGCAGGGCGCGTGCCTGGGAGGAGGCCACTGAGAGGTGCCTGGCCTCATCCCCCAGGGCCAGGTGGAGATCGAGGACCAGGTGGAGGGCTTGCACTTCGTGGCCGAGAAGTACGGCTTCATTGACCTGAGCCGGGTTGCCATCCACGGCTGGTCCTATGGAGGCTTCCTCTCGCTCATGGGGCTGATCCACAAGCCCCAGGTGTTCAAGGTGGGTCCTGTCCCCACCTCCTCCCTCCTGTCTGCCAGCGCCCACCCGTGCCCCTTGGAGCCCGCCCCCCCGGGGGAGGCATCTTGGCAGGGGCCTTGCCACGTGGCTGTTTCTCCCCGCAGCAGCCCCATGGGGCCGAGCCCCCCTCCTCATTGCCCGCCACTGCTGACCCCAGGATGGCGTCCGGCTGCACAAAACCCCGCCAGCAGCTCTCTGTGGGAGGCTGAGCCCGGGACCCCGGCCTCGGATGGGCAGAGGTGGGGCATGGTGTGAAGAGCGTCGGGGGAGGGGCCCCCAGGCCGGCGGCACTGTCAGGGCACCGCGGGGCGGCGATGAGGAGGCGGAGGCGGCAGGAAGGCAGTGGGCCCAGGGAGGGGCCGATCCCGGCCCCGGCGTGCTCATTCAGCTCACCCACCCTCCCGAGACAATGCACGGTCCACGGGGGAGACACATCTGAGGGCCCCTCCCCTGCCAGCCCCCGTGTGCATGCCCGCTCCTCACGTCCTCCGGGGGAGGCCCCGGGACAGCCGGCCAAGCGCAGGCTCCCAGGACCTGAACTTTGTGTGTATGTGTCTCTCTCTTTCTTTCTCTCTCTCTCCCCCACTCCATCCACTGTGGCCCTCAGGTGGCCATCGCAGGTGCTCCGGTCACAGTCTGGATGGCCTACGACACAGGGTACACAGAACGCTACATGGATGTCCCAGAAAACAACCAGCTTGGCTACGAGGCGGGTTCCGTGGCCCTGCACGTGGAGAAGCTGCCCAATGAGTAAGACCCCCACCCGCCCTGACTTCAGAGTCGCCAGGGCTGGCCCGCCTGTGGCCGGCTGGGCGTGGCTTCTGCACCTCCCACTGTGCCTGCCCCTTGGTCCCCTCTGCTCCCGCAGCCCTCCCTCCTCACTGCTCCTCACTGAAAGCAGGTGCCTGGGTTCTCTTGGAGCGAGGAGGGAGGGAAGCCCCCCAGCCCTGCCCCCAGAAAGATAGAAGGGAAGATCTAGAGTCACACCTTGCACGTGCTGGCTCCCCTCATCCCCCAAACACGCAGCCCACCATGGACCCCCTGAGTCAGTTTTGAACCTGAACGGCCTCTGTCTTGTGGGTTTTGACACCGTGGTTCAGAACACAGGTCCACAGTGGTTCTAACATGTAGGTGTGTTGGAACAGCTCTGATGTCCCACGTCAATGCTTTGGGCATTGGCTTCTGATTCGCCGATCGAAAAGAAACTGGCGTGGCCAGTTTCTGGTGTGGCTCTGTCTGGTGAACCTGGGCCCCACCTTTAGTGCCAGGGTTCTCGTCACAGGCTGACCCCGCCAGGGCCCCTCTCCCCTCAAGGCTGCTCTCTAGTCTGGAGGGTGGCCTGGGCTCCACAGTGGCGTGCTGTCGTGCAGCCAAGCTCAGAACCCACTGCTCCATGGCCACTCCGATTTACGTTCACATTCATCCCCATTCACTAGAACAGTAAAACCGTGGAGACAGATGACCAGTCGTTGCCCAGGGTGGGGAGTGCCTGCTCATGGGCACAGGGGTTTGCTCCAGAGTGATGGAAGTGCTCTGGAACTCAGGATAGACATGATGGTTGCACGACACTGAATGCACCAAATGCCCCGAAATCCCTTTAAAATTAGTAATTTTAGGTTGTGTGAGTGTCACTTCAATAAGTTATTTTTATTTATAAATCAAAATTTTAAAAAGTAAGGTTCCTCGACCACCCTTGCCACATGTCAGGCACTCAGTAGCCACCTGGTGGCGATGAGTGACACAGGTCTAGAACGTTCCATCATCTCAGAGTGCCCGTGGGCAGCACTGCTCCAGAAGCTTCCCCGAGCTCAGGGCATTCCAGGCACAGCCTCTGCGCCCACCCCTCCCCTCCTCGCCTGGAAGGAAGTGAGGGGTCTCCCAGACCCGCCAGTTGTGCACTGTGCACGGGATTTGAGTTCCGCCACGTTCTGCTGATGAGCTGCTGCTTCCGCCCTCGCTGTCCTGGGGCTGGGACGGGACCCTGGGCCCCCAGCCCTGGCTGAGCGTGGACTGTGGTGCGACTGCCTATGGGCGGGAGAAGGGGGTCTCGCCCCAGACCCTCACGCCCACCTTGTCTTCCAGGCCCAACCGCCTGCTCATCCTGCACGGCTTCCTGGATGAGAATGTGCACTTTTTCCACACAAACTTCCTCGTCTCTCAGCTGATCCGAGCAGGAAAGCCTTACCAGCTCCAGGTGGGTGGCTCCTCCCAGGAGCCCGCTGCGTGGGCAGCAGTGGGTTGGGGCACCCGTGGCCGCGCCCCCATCCTCACACCTGACTGCCTGGCTCCACACTTAGCCGGCTCCCTGGGTCCCGACCACCATTCAGCAGTCGCGCGCTGATCTCTCCGGGTCCGCGCCACCTGCTGCTGGCGACACCTGGGAACTGGGCCCGGTGGAGGGAGGCTGATGTTACCGAAATGATTGCGCATGCGCGCCAGGAACCTTGCTTTGAAGGAACTGTACAGAATACTGACAGCATCTGGGGGCGGGGCGGGGGGGGTGTCCCTTGACGGGGGTCAGAAAATAATTCCCCGAAGAGGTGACATTTAAGGGTGCTAAAGAGTAAGTGGGAACTCATCTAGGCCTGGGGGGCGGCTGTGGAAGACACCAGACAGGAAATTAGTAGGCGGGAGCAGCTCCAGGACGGGAGACCAGGGTAGCTGGAGCCAGCAGAACAGCTGGGGAGCAGGATGTGGTGACCGGCATGGCAAGCCGCCTGACGCCTCCGCTGATGGGCGGGACTTCAGCAGTAAGGGGCGGGACCTTGTGAGAGGGCGGGGCTTCAGCGGTAAGGGGTGGGCCTCAGGGGAGGGCTGTGTTTTGTTCCGAAGGGTGAGGCGAGGTGTCAGGCCTCCCTCTGGCAGCCCTGTAGACAGAGGCCCATGGGGGCCAGTGGGACATGAGCCACAGTCAGTTGTCCCGGCAGGAAAGGGGACGGGAGTGGGGAGCGAGAGGCCTGGTGGATTCGGAGGAGTGGGGGGTGGGTGTGCTGGAGGCGAGAGGGACAGATTTTATTACCTGCTGCTGCCCTGCAGTCTTTCCGCTTCCTGGACGCCTCCATGCGTTCTGAGCTGTCAGGGGAAGACATGTTGCCATTCAACAAATGGGGAAACTGATGGTCATCGGGCAGGAGGGACAGGCCGCAGGGACCTGTGGCTGGGCATGCGCTTGCCAGACAGGGCAGGAGGGAGGCGGGGCTCCCTGTGGGTGAAGAGCTGGGTTGGGCGTTGCTTGGCAGTCCCCCCCGCCCCAGCTGCACATGCTCTCCAAACACAGGCCAGAGGCAGCTGCACATCAGAGCAAAGGAGTCAGGCGGGGCCAGGGTGGATCCTCACCTGTCCCTTCTGAGCCTGAAGCCCTGAGCCTCGCTGCTGGGATAGCCACTCCCTTCCCATGTGGCCATTGGCGGCAGGTCCTTTAACCTTGGGCCTTGTCTCCTCATCTGTGAAATGGGCGTGATAACCCCTGCCTCCCAGAGCTTGTGAGGGTCAAATGAGTTCTCTCAGGAGAAGCATTTGGCACACAAGGGGGTCCCAGAGGCTTGTGCCCCTGCCTGCCCAGGGGAAATTGAAGGTGAGACAAGACACTCCCTTGGGGGCTGCGAGTGGGGGAGATGGAGCACGCCCACCTTCCTCTTCAGACACCGGGCAGCAGTTGGCCTGGAGGCTGACAGCCCCAGCTTGTTGGTGCATCACGTTTGTTGTCAGATGTCAGGCCTGGGACTGGGGGCTGGGAGCACAGTGGGGAGCCAGATGGACCCTCTCCCTGCCCTCACAGCCCACAAGGAGGAAGAAGTAACCAGACCCAGGGTGGCATGAAGGGGTGGGTGCAGCGGGGTCTGTCCCAGGCAGTGCCGCTGCCCCGGGCCCGGAAGGAGTGGGGCCCGTGAGGCTGTAGGGGCAGCGGGACCCAGGAGTCCAGGTCTTGATCTCAAGCTGGCAAGTCCTTGCGGACCTCTGAGCTGGGGACCATGTGATCAGACTTGTGATTCATCCAGGTTGGATTCATCAAGGCAAGGGTGGAGGAGGGGAGATCTCTGGGCAGTTCGGTGCATTCCTAGGGTCTGGAGCAGGTTTCACGCCTACCCCATGAGCCCTTAGGGCTCCTCTGAGAACTGCTGGGGTGCAGGAGCCCTCATTTCATAGCCAGAGGCAAGACCTGCGTCCCTGTCACCATCTACCCAAGAGCCTGGACATGCGCTCAGCCAGGCTTCAGGGACTGGGTGATTCCTTGGGCATGGCCCTTGGCACCAGCGTGCTGCCGTTTCTCTCTGGGGATGACCCCCCCTCAGGTGGTGAGCAGACCCAGGAAAACACCTGGCACAGCCTGGGGTGGAGAGGCTGTCCTGGGGCCTTAGCATGTATAATCCCCAATGGGGCCTGTTGGTGAAATGAACGTGGCTCAGTTGGAGGCACCAAACGTCTGTGAGACATGAAGCCCCAGCCACTCACGGAGCTGGGTTCCTTGCAGCTCTCTGGGTTTGGGGGATAGAGCAGCAGCACAGTTTCTTAAGGCTTTCATATGTGCAAGTCCTCTGTGTTTGAGACCTTAGCTTGCCCAGGCCACAAAGACCCTACAGGGTCTGAATTCTTCGCTCAGCTTTCATGGGGGGCTGCCGTCAGGCAGGCTGTCACTTGCCCAGAATTAACACAGCAAGCTGGCCGTGGAGGGGGGATTCGAACCTGGGTCCCTCAGTGCCGGAGCAAGACCTCTTCCCTTCCTGCACCCTCCCCAGGGGTTGGGGGGCGGGGGCGGGACCGAGGCCCTGAGGAGAGACACTCTGAGCCCGGGGGTGGAGGGGTTCGGGGGTAGCAGGGTGCAGGGGTGCCTCGGTGCCACCAGCCTTGCCTTCTCTGTCCACCCAGATATACCCCAACGAGAGACACAGCATCCGCTGCCCCGAGTCCGGCGAGCACTATGAAGTCACACTGCTGCACTTTCTACAGGAATACCTCTGAGCCCGCGGGCCGCCACGTGCGGGCCTGCACAGTCAGAGCACAAGTGGCTTCGCCGCCGCCGTTGCCGGAGGGACCGAGCGGCCCCGCAGGCCCTGTGCAGCGCCTCCTCCCACCGGCCCCGCCAGACCGCCCGCCCCCGGAGCTGCCGCCTTCGCCCCAACGCCTTTTACGGTTTTCGTTAACGCTCCTGGGGTTTCAGCCTGCTGCTTCTTCGTGGCCAGGATGGAGAGATGAGACCAACGTCCACGAGGCACTTCCTCAAGCCATCCCTCCTCTCCCTGTCATCCAGGAGCGGGAGCCTCAACTCCGCTGGGCACTGGAGGCCAGAAGAGACTCGGAGGAGCCAGCCTTTGCCCCGGGGACCCCCAGGCCCAGCCCGGCCGCCGGCGCAGAAGCATGCGGTTGCCTTTCCTCCCCACCCGCCCACTTCATATTTGTGTTTCGTTTTGTTTTTCTTTTGGGGGGTGGGCATTTTTATGAATTATTTAAAAGAAAGATAGCAAGGGGTGCCTAAATCTAGATTCAGGGTCTGCCGCTGGGCCACGGGGTTCACCCCAGCCAGCACCCGAAGCCCACAGCAGGAGTCGCGCCTGGCAGGCCGTGAGCGGCGCGCAGGGAAGCGGGGCAGCCTTCCGGCCCGGCTTTCAGGCAGGCTCTGAAGCGCACCCGGCCCCGTTCTCCCCAGCCCAGCCCTCCGCCACACGTTTCTGCCTGGCCCGCCGGCCCAGACCGGGGTTCCAGGGCTGGGAGTGGAACCCTCCCCGCCTCAGGGTTATCCTTACTCCTTCCTTTCCCTCCCGCCAAGAGTTCTGCCAGGGGCGGGTAGGAAAAAAACAAAAAAACAAAACAAAAAAAAAAACCCCACCAGAGACGAACCACCTCTACACATTATGAAAAGAAAATATTTTTGTCGATTCTTATTCTTTTATAATTATGCGTGTAAGAAGTAGACTCATTAAACGATTCCAGATGGAAGCGTCGCCGCCTGCCTGAGGTTCCTTCTGAACCCCTGGGGCTGGTGATGGGGGCTCCTCGAGTGGGCGGGGATCCCGGGAGGAGGCTGAGCCAAGAGCAAGGCGGTCCTTGCAGTCGAAGGATGGGGGCGCTGCTTGCTCAGCGCTGCTGCCCTGGCATGAAGTGGGGGGGTGGGGCGCCACCCCTCAGCCAACTGGCCCAGTAAGGACAGTCCCAGAGGTCCTGAGGCAGCCCGTGGGTGCCTCCGAGGTGCCTGGCCCTTACTTCCTTTTGCGCCTCTCCTTGTCCAGAGACTTGACTCAGCGGTTGGGGGTCAGGACACACCGATAAGGGACGGCAGGCTGTGCCCCTCTTCATGTCCTAACAGCTGAGAGACTAGGAGACCAGAGACCATGCCTGCGCAGGGGGCACTCTTGGTACTTGAGTTTCTAACAGCACGGTGGCCTCTCCCTGTGCCATCAGCCACTCCATCCTTTCGGAAAGTCCAGTTTTTTTTTTAATGGCTTAAAGAATAAAACAAACTAGTACAAAAGAATATAGAGGAAAAATACGCCCTCCCTCCCGAGAGGTAACCCCTCCCCAGTCTCTCTTTTTAATACCTGCCCTCTGTTCTGCCCTGTGAATGTGCCACAATTTATTTTGCCAGGCGCCTATCAAGAGGTAACATAGATTATTCTGGGCTTTTCGTATAAATCAACAGACTTTGTCAAGGGCCAGATAGTAAATATTTCAGGCTTTGTAGGCCAGGCCGTCTCTGTTGCAACCGCTCAACTCTAGCCCTTGCAGTTCAAAAGCAGCCACGGGTGATGTGTGAATGAGTGGGCGTGGCTGTGTGCCAATAAAACTTTATTTACAAAGCCACACAGCCGGCCAGATTTGGCCCACAGGCTGTAACTGACCAAACCCCTGGGTATAAAGGATCCTACAACAAACAGCCTACAACAAACAGCCTTGTACATGGTTGGGGCATATGTCTGAGTGCATAGGGTAAATTCCTAGAATTATAAAAAGGCATATGCATTTTTAATTTTGAAGAATATTGCAAATTACCTTCTAAAGAATGCCTCAGTGTACACACTTCTTTTTTTTTTTTTTTTTTTTTTTTTTGCGGTACGTGGGCCTTTCACTGTTGCGGCCTCTCCCATTGCGGAGCACAGGCTCCGGACGCGCAGGTTCAGCAGCCATGGCTCACAGGCCCAGCCGCTCCGCGGCATGTGGGATCTTCCCGGACCGGGGCACGAACCCGTGTCCCCTGCATTGGCAGGCGGGTTCTCAACCACTGCGCCACGAGGGAAGCCCTGCCCACCTTTCTTTTGATCTATTGACCTCAATGATTTGTAGACACTCTTTATATATGAAGGAAATCAGTCCATGGTCATACACGTTGCAAATTGAACTGTGTGGTTGATCTCAAACAGTTTTATGGGTAGGAATCTCAGCCAGTGAATGTTTAAAATCATCTCAGGAACAAGAAGATGTCTTGCCCTTAATCCGCTGTGAAAGAAAGTGGAGAGGCAGCTAGTCACAAGTCACAGAATGACAGAAGCTGGTGAGAAAGGGGGCACTGGGGTTGCCCCCTGAGGCTTGGCAGCCCACGCCCTGCAGTTGTCTCAAGCAGGAACTTTTTGGGGGTGGGGGGGTGGGGGTGGGGTGGGGTGTGCCTCACAGCATTCGGGATTTTAGTTCCCCAACCAGGGATCGAACCCACACTCCCTGCACTGGAAGTGTGGAGTCTTAACCACTGGACCGCCAGGAAGCCCCTCAAGCAGGAGCTCTTCATCGGAACTTACTACCCCTACCTCCCTCGGTCAGTACTCAGCATCCATCAGTCAAACTTCAGTCAGTTGTATTCCTGCCCGGACAACAAGGCCTGGGGAGGGACATGGGAGGATGGGTGACGGGCAGCTACAAAAGGACAAGTGTCTGCTGGCAGAAGGTCTTGGTCTTGGAGGTGGCAGTTTAAGAGACCTTTGTTTTCTTCATGGTTGATACAGGGCCACTTGTTTTCTCCACCACTGGTGGGATTTCCATCTGAGGGAGGGTTCCCACTCTGTTTCAGGTCGCCCGTGTACATGCTCGAGTCCTTTCTTGGTGGAAGTGCTCAGCTCTTCCCTAACTGGCAAGAACCCATAAGCGATGGACATAAAAACCCGTTTCATATCGTTTGCAGATACTTTCCCAGTTTGTCATTTGCTTTTCAAACATGTTTGTGGTATTTTTTTAATTCTCTATTTTTTAAAATTGAAGTGTAGTTGATTTATAATGCTGTATAGTGTTTTGTTTTGTGTTTTTGGCCGCACCTCGAGGCATGCTGGATCCTAGGTCCCCAACCAGGGACTGAACCCATGCCCCCCTCAGCGGAAGCGCGGAGTCCCAACCACTGGACCACCAGGGAAGCCTCTTTCTTTTTTTTTTTTTTTTTAAAATCAACTATAGACACATGAGAAGTTGCAGAAACAGTGCAGAGTCCCGTGTACCCTTCATTCACGCAGCTTACATCTTACTTAACCCCAGCACACTGTCACACCAAGAAACTGATGTGAATACGACGCAATTAACTAGACTCTAGACCTTATTCAGATTTTATCAGCTTTCACATGCAATCATTTGTGTGTGTGTAGGTCTGTTCCACGCTGTCACCTGTACAGATTCCTAGAACCACCACCACAGTCAAAATACAGAGCTGTTGGGGACTTCCCCGGTGGGTCAGGTGGTTAAGACTCTGTGCTTCCACTTCAGGGGGCCCAGGTTTGATCCCTGGTCCTAGAACTAGTATCTCAAATGCCCTGCGGCCAAAAAAAAGAAAAAAAAAAGCTGTTGATTCACCACAAAGAAGCTCCTTCATGCATCCTCTTTATTATGTCCTCACCCACCCTGTTTATGGCGTCCTGACCATGGAGAGAAAAGTCGTGATACCTGTGTTATCAAATCTTTTCTTCCTTTATGACTGCTAGATTTCATGTCATGATCAAAAAGCAGGATCTTGGGAATGATGGGTTTTTTTCTTTTAATTCCTTCAGTTTTTTGTTTGTTTTTTGGAGGCAAAAAGGAAAACGGAGAAACAAGAGGCTTGGGGCTCAGTCTTTCTGAAAACACAGACACACACCTACCCCTCTTTGAGTAGGAAACTCAAGACCACTCACAACTGAAATACTTTGTTAGCAAAAGCGCTTGGCCACTAACTGAATCCTTCATAGTGACAGGCTGGTCAAACACAGCGCTGAGGATATGGAGATATAATGGAATCCTGCTGTGTTTAACACAGAATAGGTCTGCCGGCCTCCAATTTATGGAGCCAATTCCTAACGGGTCCACAGCAGCCAGCTGCAAAGAGGGAGCTATTTCTGCAGAAATAGTGGAGTTCCCTAATGCCCTTCACCCAGTTTCCCCTAATGTGAACATCTTACATCACTATGGTACAAGCCAGGTTATTGAAGCCAGGAAATTAACATCAGTACAATCCTTTTATCTAATATACAGAACTTATTTGGATTTCACCATTTCTCCCTCTAATGTCATTTTTCTGGTCCTGCATTGTTTGTGTCCTCTGCCCCCAAATTCATGTCGAACCCTAACACCCAGTGTGATGGTATGAGGAGGTGGGGGTCTTTGGGAAATGATTAAGTCATGAGGGTGGAGCCCTCATGAATGGGATTAGTGTCTTTATAAAGGGACCCTAGAGAGCTCCCTCTCTCCCTCCATAATGTAAGGACATAGCAAGATGGAGTGTGTGAACCAGGAAATGGGCTCTCACCAGACACCAATTCTGCCAGAGCCTTGATCTTGAATTTCTAGCCTCCAGATCTGTGAGAAATAAACGTGTGTTGTTTAAGCCAGCCAGTCTGTGGGACTTTGTTATAACAGCCCAGACTAAGGCAAGGATCCAATCCAGGATCCCACATTTCCTTTCCATGTCTTGGTCTCCTCACTCTGTGATGGTTCCACAGTCTTTGTCTTTCCTGACACTTTTTATTTTTTGCGGTACGCGGGCCTCTCACTGTTCTGGCCTCTCCCATTGCGGAGCACAGGCTCCGGACGCGCAGGCTCAGTGGCCATGGCTCACGGGCCCAGCCGCTCCGCGGCATGTGGGATCTTCCGGGACCGGGGCACGAACCCATGTCCCCTGCATCGGCAGGCGGACTCTCAACCACTGCGCCACCAGGGAAGCCCTTTCCTGATACTTTTAAAGAGTACTGCCAGTTATCCTGGTAGAATGTCTCTCAACTTCGGTTCATTTGGTATTTGCTTTGATTAAACTGAGGTCGTCCATTTTGGACAGGAATTCCACAGAGGTGCCACTGAGAATGTCCTTCTCTGCATTCCGTTGGCGGCTCCATGGTGTCACTGTCTCATTTTTAGCGACGTTGACTTGATCACTAGGCTAAAGATGGTGTCACTACTGTAAAATTACTACTTTCCCTTTGTAACTAATATGTATCTTGGGGGGGAAATACTTTGAGACAACGCAAATATCCTGTTTCTCACAATACGTTTCCCCCACCAGTTTTCAGCAGCGATCCACGGATCTTGGCTGTAACAATCATGAGGTGTTTGCTCAACGGTGATCTGTCATTTCCCTCATTCTGCCTACATGTATTAATCTGAATATTATTGGTGGTCTTTTATTTACTTCACTCCTTGTACATGTACGAACTGTTGGAACTGAAGGGTCAATCCCTTGCCTAGTGAGGGACGAACGGACCCTAAACCAAGGAACCTGTTCCAATTTCACGAACCCCAGAACCCTCTCTGTACTTCCAAGCCCCGCCCCAAGATGGCGGCCCGGGCCGGAGGGGCGGGGCGCTCCGGATCACGTGGTCGTGTCGACGCTGACGGGGCCTCCGGCGGACGCCCCACTTGTCCCTCGCCGCGCTCCGTCCGTCGCCCCTGCCCAGCGAACCTGATCCCAAGATGGCGGCGCCCAGCAGTAGAAGGAACGGCGGCGGCGGCGCCGTGAGCTTGTGGGCCGCGCTGCTCCTGGTGGCCGTGGCGCTGAGGCCGGCAC